ACGAGTCCACAGGTCAGCCACATCTTGCTCCCTCTGTGAGCTGTATAATACCTGTTACTGATTTATGAAACACACCCATGTTAACTGGTGATCGTCACAGCTTTACAAAGTCAGGTGCCTGCTCAACATAATGCACCATCATACTATTATTTTGTTCAAAATAAAGACACGATTCATTTTTCATCGGTTCAGTTATGCTGCTGGATTTCTTAAGTTTATGCGCGCGCTGTTGTGAGTATCAGTATCAGAAAAAAGTCAAATGGCAATATAACCAACAGATGATTTTTGTGGTGAGTGGAACTGCAGTACGATTGTATTGGACCTTATGGAAATCGTTCATCCTGATCTGTACTTTGGCGTAGATGAACCTTCAAACTTTAACCAGACACATGATCCCTTGTGCTTCCCGAGTGGCGCCAGCCCTACCTAGTTATGGTTTGGTCTGTTTCAGCCACTCACAGTCATAGAATGCTTCGAGACTCTTCTTTGGAGATAGAACATGTCGTTTTCGAACAATTTCCTTTCCCGCCAATTACAAAACCGTAAAGGTAGCATCCACAACTAATGAGTTTAAACATTTTCAATCATAACCGAGAGAACTACAGAACTACAGTTCTCGGCATAGGGTAGTGCTTGTGGATCACAGTGTTGGTAGGCTAAGATTATACCTGTTTTGACCAGAAGTTGGAATACATTTTAGACGACTTTTACTCTTGCTTTCTACTTATATCATAGCTGCGACTTGAAACCGTTGGACACGTTGACATGCTGCCAAAACATCACCAAAAAGCATAAAAACAGTGAAGTTGGGACATCAATACTAATCTACTTTTGATTTATTTTTGAAAAGTTATCCAAAGAGTGCAACTTGTGTAAGCCGTGTAACTTCTAGCATAAAGGTTAACCACTACATTACTAGCATGCTATATAACTACGAAACAGGTGCAGTTCTCGGCGAGAAGCATCTTACAACTTTAGACAAATCAGTCTTTCGGTTAGCTACGTTTGCTTTAAAGAGCCCTCTTAACAAGTGGCTTAAGTGTTTCATTGTTCTGGTGGCCAAACACAGAAATAATTTAGCTAAGAGGAAAGGAATATCGTCATAAAATGTAGCTGACTGTAGGTCCAAACCTGACAGAAAACGAATTTAGAAATTATATCGTACCTTGATTAGTGAAGACGTTCGACTGTACTCTCAACAATTCACATAGTAGGATGATTCACATGAATACGCAAGAAGCCAAAGCTGAATTGAGTTTCCTTTTTATGTAAACCTTAGACCATCTGATCCATTTAAACCCGTGTTTTTGTGTCTTCTTCTTCTTTTGAGTTTATTAGCATTACCGCCGCCTACTGGACTGGAGCATGGCTCCGAAGGCTGAAAATTCAAGTAAACCGTTTGTTTCAAGAATATAGGTGTTATGTATATGTTACATAGATGTGTATTTTTCACCAAGAAATTTTTTCTGATGTTACCTTCAAGTTATTTCTCATGCGTGCTTTATAGATAGATAAATGTATGAAAGAAGTGCAAATTGCTTTAATGAATCTATAAATCAAAGAAACATAGTTGCACGAAGGTATAATACAAATTATGTTTAGAATCCTATGTCTAACATGTGTATTCACCAGTCACAGAATGAAGAATTACTACAGAGCTTTATAGAGAACGGCAAGAATGATTTTCTGAAGTGTTCTTCATGGTGGCGAATCGGTCTGAGGGTGAAGGAGAAGTGTGGAGTTGAGTGGGAGTGATGTCCATGATGTAGAGCAGTTTATTCAGTGACCTCCTGTCCATCACTGACTCAAACACCTCCAAATTCTAACCAGTGATGCAGGGTTGCAGATGAGTTTGTTGATCCTGCTGGCATCTCTGGCACTGATGCTGTCCCCTTCCCTCCACGCCAGCAGCAAGCTATTTCCTCCTGAAGTCAACCACTATCTCTTTTGTCTTGCTGACACTCAGAAGGAGGTGATTTCTTTGAACTCAACAAAGTTCCTTAACAGCTTCCTGTACTCTCACTCTTGTCCACCCTTAATACACCCAACTACTGCAGTGTCATGTTTAACTGTTGTAACGGAAATCTGAGGTGTACAAGGTAAACAAGAATGCCAATAGGACCATTCCTTGTGGTTCCCCAGTATTACTAACCACCACATCAGACTGGGAGCCCCCCAGGCTTACAAACTGAGCCATCTCACAGGGTCAAAAGTATATACACAGGTTCAAATATAACACCCCCATGAATTTTTTATTAAATGTCTCTTAGGTACAGTAGTTGCACCTCAACCAGATGCTTTTGGTAGCCATCAAAAAGTTTCTCTGGTGGTTCTTGGCAGAACTGATTTTAATTGGTTGCTTCCCCAGCACAGACCCAGCTTTAAAGTCAAATTTTTAATAGGGTTGAAATTGGGATTTTTGGGGATGCCATTTTTCACAAGTCAAATCAAGTTAAAAGTTATATTCCAATTCACACACAGTAAAGGTTTGAGCTGTCGGAAATATTCAAATTCAAAGCCACACAGAACAAGCCTGGAAAAAGTAGGAAGTGAGTGCAGCATTAGAAGTTAAAACTCCAAATCTAGAAGAGTGGTTCCAGCAGATTGCAGGCACAACATTAGAGGTCTCTGTGCAGAAGAGTGTAGTTTTAAGAGCAGCTAAGATACTGTACAGACTGTTCAAACTCCCAGGCCTCTGGGTCGAGGACCCAAACTTGAGGATCACACACATATCAAACCCAGAGGATTAAATGGAGTAGATAGTAGTAGTGGTAGGCAAGATTTTTCAGATTGATGGGAAGTACAGCTGTACTACTTAGGGAAAACACCTAATACAGTAGAAAGGACTACTGGGATGCTATATGCATGGCAAAAGGAGGGGTGACAGACGTAAAGTACAAGGCTTTCACTGAGTTGCATGTAAGGGTGGACACTGAGGAACAGAAAAATGACTTGTATTGATTGGCTGAGCAGAGAGACTGAGCTAGAAAGGACATGTAGCAGGTTAGGTGGTTAAGAACAGAGATGGAAATGTGCTAAGTGTGCTAAGTGAAGAGAGTGTTGAAAAGATGAGAGAGCGAGGACAGATGGAGGACAGATGACGAATTGGAAAATGCAGAGAAATTTTTAAGGAGCAGCTATGAAGAGAATGATAAAAGGCAGTTGGCCCAGATGACATACAGCATGGGGAGGTACAGGAGGTATGGAGATATTTAGGAGAGAGGGCAGTGGACTTTTGGACCACATTGAAGGGAATTTCTTGATGTATGGTTTTATTTTAAGTAAGTTAAATTCTGAGACTGAAAAAAAGTTTTTATTAACATTCTCATTTAAAGTCAAAACACCCCAAAATGAATTACAGTCAATGGTAAAAGTAAGTCCCAGGGATTCACTTTACTAGAAAATACATCAAATGCAATGAAATCATCTGCAAGTGCATAATCCCTCCAAGGAAAATGAGAACTGCTTGAGATGTGGTTTGAAAAGTTACTCTCAGTGAAACTATAATCTATAAAACTGCCCTTGCTTTTGTTTTCTGATCTAGTGGCTCAATGGTGCCATCCTCCATCAAAGTAAATAACCCAAACTTTTCCAGTTTTCATGCCAACAGAATACCATAGCAGTCAGATAGTGTTGCTATGACTGAGAACTTTTACAGTTAAGAAATATCACAGGAAACATGGTAAAACATGGTAGATGTGGTAAAAGGCTATAATTAAGACTGTTCGAAATAGACTGAGAAACACAGGTCTAAAGCAGATCGCAAATCAGTCAGATTGAGCTTTAATGATATATGATAAAATCATCTTTGTACATTTGTACATATTTGATGGTGAAAATGCAAACATGACACCAAAATTAAAATTAAAACTATTGTGTATAAGTGCTGCACTACCATGATGCTAATTAAACTGAATGTGAAATTCACTTATAATTTCGTATTTGAACTGGAAGATATTTGTGCAGTCCTCCATGTTTTTCATTTGAATTGTCTTCGATTCAGCTAACTCTAATCAAAAATAAAAGAAATATCCTGCTTCATGGTCATTCTCATAATGGCAGACCTTTTCACTTCTTGGATCTGCAATCATCAGCTTTATATAGTGATTTTAATATTGGCAGTCTGTGACAAAGTGGAGGAGCAGTTGCAATTCTCTCCATTTGTCCCATATGTGTTTATCTTTTTTTTGCACATTGTACACATTATTCTGTTTCTATGTATTTGCTATGATTTGCTATTTGTCAAGTAACATTGCTTCACTCACTATCCCGGGTTTGTTTGTGTAAGCGTTTTGTTGCCGGCAAATCAAACATTCTGCAAATTAAGACAAATACTAAGTTATGTTTCTTTATACTTTATTATGTTACAGATTAAGTCATTTGTTCATCTGTTTGTCTTTTCAGTCATCATGAGTGTCAGGTGTGGGGAAACGCCCGCTTGGCATTTCCTCATTTTAAAGTCCTGATCATGTCACACATGACATCATCAGGTCAAACCATGTGGAGGGGTTTCTTTTTCCAGAGAGATGCTTCCTTTTGTCTGTGTTAATGTTTAAAGGGATTTGTTGAATGTTTTTCCTTTTGTTAATACTGCCATTTAGTTGTGTAAATGTGCATATTAGAAGTGTGTAGAGGTTTTGTGTTTTTAGATAACCTGAGTAGAGTTTTAGATCCCTCAGTTGAGTGAGTGGTACTGGCTGGGCAATTGGAGGGAAATTGATGGCCCTATTTAAAGTCAGTCTCTACCAGAAGCAGGAGAGAGGAGAGGTGAGCTGTGTCACCAGAGCCATGTTATGTTGAGTTTTGTTAAATGAATTGATTTGGGGGAAGTTTTGTTAAGTTATACATTAAATTAAGTTCACTGCAAATAAATTGCTCACCTTGGAAACCCAAAATGTCTGCATAGTCTGCTTCCCTACCACCTTCCTTGACGTTCGAGTCTGACTACTTCACACAGTCATAGAGTGATACAGTGACAGAGTAACATGAATTTAATGGCATTCAATCTAAAGACAACTTTATTTCTTTCCCAAGTCATTATTCAAAGATGTTATACAAAGTTCTATATTTCTGCATAAAATCTAAAGTTTCTTGAGAGGAAAAAAAAAGGAAGAACACTGTAATATCATTAAGCCAGTTTCACTGTTAAAAGACACCGTGCAGAAAATGTTTGCTACTTAACTGAATGACTGGAGGAAGCTATTATCTGAATATATTATAGCTTAAAACCAAAATATAACATGACAGATTCAAAAAAAGATTCGCTGGCCAAATGCACTAAGGATTAATTTCCCACTTTTTACTGTCATCATAAATGTACTTAAAAGTTCAAAGTAAATGTTTTCAAAACATCATTTACCTGTAAAAAGTTACTGATTTACCTGCGTAGTCCTCTACTATGGTTTACTTCTTTCAGGAAAACTTACTCTGAAGTGAGAAAGGCAACACACATGCACATAAAAAGCAAGTCAAGATGAGAAGGAGATGGTTTAGTTACATCCTTAATATCCCTTGTTTACTCATATCCTTAATTTAGAATGTCTCTTGAGTTCAAGGTTTGACGTTACAGAGGAGGCACAGATCAGCATCAACGATATCAGTAATCGAAACTCTTCATGATGGCGTCTCTGTCAAATCTGAAATGTAGGAAAGCCTTAGAGGACAGCATTGGCTCATAATCTCTACTCTCTTGATGACCGCAGGAGCTGCTTGGAGCTGCATCTGTGAAAAGAAAAACCCGTTTAACTGTGTGATGTGGCAATTGGAGGCTATCAGTGGTCATCATCTATGAAATTAAATTAAATTAAATTAATCTTTATATGCATAAAATGGAAAGCACAGAAATTAAAAATCATTTGTCACACCAAATAAAATTATTGCTCCATACGTAACTTGATGCATTAGAGTGAATGGTCAACCATTCAGGTCAAAGGGATGACTACATAACTACTGTTTGCCTTTGAGAACCACATCACCATTATTTCAATAGATTCAGATGAAATTTACTTATAAGCAGTTAGATTTATTGCACACACTCCTATTGTGAGCATTACTCCATTAGATAATGATATATTACATGCATTTTATTAACAGTGTTTATAACATGTGATATGAAGGATGCAAGGAGCATTTGCCATTGCTGACTGTCCAGAAGGCTCTTGGATAAATTGCAGTGAAAGGAATATCTTGTCTTTTTAAGTGCTCCTTTGGTCAAATGAGTAGAAATAAACCCTCGATCTATGTAAAGGCTTTCAACCAAATAGAATGTCAGAGTGCTGAAAAATCATACCTCTTTCAAAACTGTCTTGTAGTCTTCGCGGTTGAAGTCTTTTATCTTCCTTCTGTAGAATCGGTTAAAGAGTGTGATGCTGGTAATTCATTAAATATTTACATGATGCCAAATTTAAATGCTTAATGCTTACTAATATTATATATTCAATAAAAACAGCATCTGAAACCCTTAATATTAGCTAAGTTGCACCAGCAGAAAGTGCATGTGCTGTTTTTGACTGATGAGCTTGAGGCTTTTTCTGGTTTAAATGTCAGCATAATGTCTGAGGCTTCTCTGGTTACTAAAAACAGCTATCTGGACCAAAAATGTTTTGGCACTTACTAATATGGTTTTCACCTGCTGGTTGCTGGCTCCATTGTCACAAGAGCCTTTCTTCATATAAGGCAAGTCTTGAAATTTCTTCCCATTGCCTTTCACATTTGGTTTCTACAGAGTAAAGAACAGATTTTATGAGATGACTGTGGTTATAATAACAAATGACAGATTCTACTTCCATCTTATACCTATATAGTAATTAATAATATATTTAAATCAGACGTATTTAATAAAGCCTTGGCAAAGTCTGGACCTGAATCACATTGAGTACTCCACATGCAACTAGAACATAACAAATGCCTGTTCATACATGTTTATCTTTCTCATTTGGACTTGCTGAGACATACATTTTCTATGAGGACGTAGGCTGAAAGAATCATTACACTTACTGATAGATTCTTTCCCTCATTTTTAATTATCTGCCTGCTGTTATCACATGGTGACTGACTGTAGTCTTTTTCTAACCTGGTTCAGTTCAAACTGGCTCAAAGTTTTCTGCTGCTTGTGTTTTGTCCAGCTCTCTCCTGGAAAGGCATCGCTACCTGTGAGGTGACGAGATTTTGACCTATGAGACAGAAGGAAGAACAAAAAGAAATTGGATTTTTGAAATTGCGGCAATCTATGAAAGTGTGGGAATTTCACTGAATTTCATTTCATGTTTTGATTTGCTTATGTTTATACATAAACATAACAATGCTTTTAAAAGCATTGAGAGCCCACATGGAGTACTCTCAGTGCTCTATGTGCACATGATGGTAAATTGCTTAGTCTGCCCATCTCAGAGAGACAGAAAAATTCCCAAATATTTCCAAAAACTAAGAGTGTCAACATTATCGTTATTATGCAACCTCACAGTCCATTCCTATGCAGAGTTCTAGTGATTGTCTACTTTGACTGTGTGGCTTTCTGTGAATTTCTTGATGATGTTTCTCACTCCAGCTTTTTTACTCTAAGTCCTGTGATAACTGCACATCTTTTATGGGGTTGTTCTGTGGCTCAGGGAGGGGTGTGCAGTGGGTTCCAGGGGCAGTACCAGGGAAGGCTATTCCAGTTGCACGCCAGAGAGTTGGAGAGTCAAGGACATCAGAGCTGGCTGGTCTGTGAACTGTCGCATTGTAAATAAAGTAAAATCTGCACTGTGAGCCCAAATAGTCTGTGAGTCTGGGGCTAAGATTACACAAAGCCTGTTACAAAATCCATGTCCTTCTTTGTGAGCATCAACAGTTGTTTTTACTTGACTTCACAAGGTTTGAGCATCACAAGGCTAAAGCACATCATTGCACAGTAGAGCAAAGAATAAAGAATAAACCTGCTCTGTTAAAAAAGCACTTTAGGTGAAAACTTTCAATTTCATAGGGGGGCTTGTGGATGCATGTCTCTAGATTTTTTAAGGACACCAAAGAACCTGGAGACAAAAAAACCCAAGCATTATTTAAGAAACGGAATAATGTTCTGCATAAATGGGTCAAAATGCCTTTTAGTCTTACATGCTTTGAATGGTAAATGGTAAAACTAGAAAAGCCTGCTGCTAGGACTGAGGCGAATGTGTCGAGCTCCCAGAAGGTATAAATCTCGGTAGAGCTGACGGGAATGGCAGAGTTGGTGATACCTGACATGAGAGATGGCTGCCCCTCCCTGAACCTGCTTGTGCCAGAGGTTTACTGTTAAAAGGGAATTCCTACTGTCGTCAAGTGCTTGGTAATAGGGGATTGGCTGATTGTTGGAGTTTCTCTCTAAAGCCTGGTGCACCCATGAACACAGACGGGTGGAGATCCGACAGCTGAGTAGTCATTCCTGTCATACTTCTTTGAAGTCCACTGCCTGGGCGTGTTTGTAGCTGGGGGATTGTGATGTAAATTTTCTACAGACGAGTCTGTGCAATCAAAAAACCAAGTAGTTGACCCTTGCTGTCACTATCGCATAACAAAATTAACTTAACAGGGACCCAAGCAGACCCTACCAGACTCATAGATTTAAAAATTATAAAACCTGCTTAACCCTCCGAGGGTTAATATTGCAGGGTCTGTATCCTATAAAATAATGCGCCTTAAGGTAAAAAAATTTGTAATTAGGCCTTATATAAATACAATTGACTTGAACTGACTACCGTGTGGGATTTCTGTTGCAGAATTGTTTGTTTTTTTACCGAATGTTGCTGATGTTTGCAAAGTCCTCATCACTGTCTGTTGACTCGCCTTTCCTCCGGCTAATCCAGTCTCGCAGTGGTCTACACAAGTAAAGCAGAAGATCTGCCATTAGACATAAAATCAAAAACATGACAAACAAGACGCAAAATTTTATTTAGACAGTTCAGAGGTTTGACAGACTTCATGGATGCACAACTGGTTGATCAATATGCATTAACTGGACCAAATTACAAAAAGAAGGCTAACTTATATGGGTAAGGATCATTAGTTCTATTTTCAGATCTGATGGCCCTGAAGAGCAGATCGTCTCTGACATCCATACTGATTTCAGAGCAGCTGCTACTTTTGATCCATTTCTCCCTCCATGAACTTGTTCATTTACTATTATGGATTTCATGCCAATTTCACTGAATATTTAAACTCAGTACATGAAACCACATCTTCACACTGACATTCTGACCCTGGGGAGTACCCAAACCCATGGATGTGTTAAAGGAGATGAGCTGAGATGAGAAATACTTTATTCGTCCATCGTATATTGATATTTGAAATTACTTTGCTACAATAATAACTGTATTACAAAGAGTAATGGTGATCATCTTAGTGTGACAAAGAAATTGACATTTCTTCTCTTCACAATTCCATGGTGAGACTAAAGAGAGCACATTAGCACGCAACTTCTAGGAAGTGCTGGTAGAAGTAGAAGTATTATATGGTATAAGTACTAAAATTGGCCCAGTGTCAGTGCAACCTTTTTTTTTCAAGTCTTTACGATAAGCTGGGCTCAACACATTTCACCTGAATTTCAGACAGACACAAGAGTGACATTTATTTGCTCATCTTATTACCAGAAAGAAAACAAACGTATAGCTTGCTATAACTGAAAACTATCAATGGACAATAAAAATGATTAGATGTTGTTTTCTAGAAACACACCTTATAAATGGAATGGCCATGAAAAACCTGTTTGGGGCAAGTCCAAGTTTAGACTTTGGTGTCATGTCATTCCTGTGACAGGGAAGCTTCTCAATAGGAAACCATTCAATGTTCTACAAGAAAAGCAAAAAAACAAAACAAAAAGCAAAAACAAAGTGAAAGTGTAAACATTTCTGTCAGCTACAGACAGTACAGATCAAGGACCAGAAAACTTCTGCTTCTGCTTCTGCTACACCTAGCTTAGCTTTAGCATGCTGTCTGACACAAACTGACATCTGCTGATTGTAGTGCAAGTGCAAGAAACGATAAGCGGAATCGATATGCAGGCAGACTAACAATTCCAAGGAACTGGACAACTGGGACCCAGTTTTCTAGAAGAATGGGTGCTCGATTCCTCTCCCCACCTTTATTGATAAAGTGAGGAATTCAATCATCCAGAAAGGAGTCAAAGTAGAGCCACTACTCGTCCTCATCAAAAAGAACTAGCTGAGGTGGTTTGAGGATAGGACTTCGATCCCTAAACCATCTTGTATGAACATCCCTGGTAAGGTGTTCTGAGTGTGTCCTACTAGAAAAAGACCCAGGGATAGACCCAGGACATACTGGAGAGATTACACCTGTTAGCTGGCCTAAAAAGGTGTCAGCTAAGAGCTGGAGGAGGTGGATAAGGAAAGAGCTCTGGGCTTCTCTGATCCCTCCTTTTTATTCAGTGCATTTTAATTCATTTTCATCCAGAAAGTGACAAAAGAGGCTTTGCACAAGCTCAAGACATTAATAAATCTGGACCGAAAGGTAGAAAAACTGTTGTTGTTGTTGTTTTTTACCCTTATCTCTTTTCTAGTTTTGGGGTTGAATTTTGTATCCTTGGACACTCCTGGTATGATGTAGAGCCGCACTAGTTGGTCAGTGATTTTCTGCTCTATGTAAACATCTTTGCAGATACGGTTCTTGATGTCAAAACCCGTCTCCTCCAACACCTGGAAAGCAACCATCATTATCAAATAAGAACTAAAGCCATTTTAAGATATGTGACTTTTATTTCTTTAAATTGATATAAGAACTGCCTGACTTACTTCACGAACTGCACAGTCATTTGGCGCTTCATCCTCATTAACCTTCCCCTTTGGAAAGCCCCAACCAGATTTTGCAAGGTAGCCCTGAACAAGCAGTACCTGAAATTGAAATAAAACAAAAGACCAGTAAGTTGAAACACACAGAATTCTTTTCATTCACCAAACACATGCACGAGTGTTCACAGGCCTCATACACTTGATAATTTACAAAACAGGCAGCCCCTCTCCCCAAAATATCAGTGTCTCCCTGGCAGAAAACCTAAATCAGTTCTTTGCCAGGTGTGAGGAAAAAAGACCCAGCCGGAACACACTGATTCCATCTGACAACAGCATGAAACTCCTTGCTGTATAACAGCACAAGGTGAGACAGGTGCTTAGTGCAGTGAACCAGAGGAAAGCTGCCAGCCTTGATGATGTGCCGGGTAGGCTACTCAAGGCATGTTCTCACCAACTTACAGAAGTCTACACAAAGATCTTCAACACATTCTTAGCACAAGCCAACATCCCACCCTTCCTAATAATTTCCCCCAGGGATCAATAAAGTATTCTGATTCTGATTCTGATTCCTGAAGTCTGCAATCATCCTCCCCCTGCCCAAGAATTCCACCCCTGACAGCCTGACTGACTACAAACAGGTTGCACTGTTGCTATGAAGTGTTTTGAGAGGCTGGTATTAAAACACATTAAAGCCAGAAGCCAGCCAAAGCCTTATCCTGAGACCCACACCAGTTCACTCACAGGCAAAATCAAATGGAGAAACCATGTGCAAATGCTCTTTAATACACTAATCACAGACATACTCATAAACAAACTGTCTGCCTTTGATCTCCCCCTTCATACCTGCATCTGGATTAAAAAAAATTCCCCCCAGATTGCCAACAAACCGTAAAGCTCGGCCCCCACCTCTCCTTCCCTCTCAACTAATTTCTGTGTGTTACACTCACACCTATCACCAGCTCCCCACAGGCTGCGCCCTGAGCCCGGTTCCACACTCACTATACACTCATGATTCACACCAATCCACGCCACTAACTTCATAATAGATTTCACAGATGACACCAACATAGTTGGACTCATCCAGAGGCTGTCCACCTGGTGCTCTGTGAACAGCCTCACCTTCAACACAAAGAAAAAGAAGGAAGTCATCAATGATTTCAGGGAGTACAGAGCAGACCATCTCCCTTTATACATCAACGGAGACCGTAGAAAGGGTCCAGGATTTCCGACTCCTAGGAACCCACCTAGCAGAGAACATCTCCTGGACTGCTCACACCACCGCCACAGTGAAGAAAGCTCAGCAGTGCTGGCACTTCCCTAGAGTCCTGAAGAGAAACAAGTTGCAGCCGGAGCTACTGGTGAGAGGCTGCTATCATACTGCATCACAGTGTGGTATGCAAGCTCCTCATCCACAGACAAAAAAAAAAAAGAAGACTACAGCACATCATAAACACAGCACACAAAAAAAGTCACTGGCTGCCACCTCTCATCCTTTCGGCAAATTGCAGTTAAACACTACATCAGCAGGGGCATAAAAATCGTCACTGGCTCTTCACATCCAGGCCATAACCTGTTCCAAATGTTGCCCTTAGGTCTCTGAAGACGAGAACCAGTAGGCTCAAAAGTTTATTCCCACATGCAATAACCCTGAATAAAAACAACTACACAAAAACAGTTCAAGTGCAATAACTACAGTCAGTGTAATCACTTTACTGTGTCAAATCTGTTCTCAATATGAATAAAGTGGAGATTTTTTAAATATTCATTTTTAGTATTTATTACAATGCACATTTAAATTAATCTTTTTCCTACTTTTTGTTTATTTATTTGTTCACACTGCTTACATGTGAGACACATATCTGGGTGTGTTTGGTTGCCAACCGGGTGATGTGATTCAAATGTCATTGTGTTTTCAAATGCAGTGACAATAAAGGCTTTGAAATGAATTGATACATATCCCTGAACAGGGTCCATTATCCATATCACAGTGGGAGACATCCAAGAAAGACTCAAGCATTAAGAGTTGGATAGCACCAGGCGCAGACATGATCCACACCTACAGGCTTAAGAAGCTAACTGTGCTTCATGAGTGCCTGGCAGCATAAATGAACCAGCTGCTAATGGATGAGACACAAACAGAATGGCTAACTGAAGGCCGGAAAGTCCCGACACTCAAGGATTCCCAGAATGGACTGGCCCTATCCAACTACCAGCCATGAACCTACCTCATCGCAACATCTCAGACATCATAGCAGCGTTGCATTACTGCAGACACAGTAATGCAACAACATTTTTATACTACATATTGTTATAGCATCCCAATTATAGCATGGCTTCTAGGTTTTGTATGAAAAACATAGCACAGCAGGCCTGTAGCAATTTTGATGTAGAAGCCAAACCACATTACTACGCATCTATAGTCATTGTGTGATGCATGCTAACCTAAAAAGAGGATTTTAATTCCTCAAACAAAAAGCACCTGCCAAATATTTAATACATTTTTCTGCCCACTACAAACCCAGGAACATTATTTACCATTTAAATTATAAGAATCTGTTGCAGTCAATACCATTTTTTATACTGGAAGTTTAGAAAACGTTTTCAAATAAACTAAGACCCATCCTAGAATCTACTATCCAGATTTCCTTAAGAATCAAGTACCAAAACGATAGGGTCCACAGAATAACAATATTCCACTTCCACACTAATTACCACACCACTTGCTGAGATTTTTTGCCATATTGAGGAGTTGTTTTCTCTAAGTGCTACCAGATCTCAACATACAAATACAATACTGTCACTAATTAACACGGTGGCTAAAACAGAGGAAAAGAATTCACAGCCATTGCAGTGAATGAGTATACAACAACTCACATTTTCAAGGGATTCATCTAGAATGATTGCACCATAAGTGGGTACACCCATTTTGTACTCCTTCCACTGCTCAAGAACTTTCTGCACATCCTCTCCGTGAGGCAACAGAAACGGACAGTGATGGAACAGTTTGCAGCAGTCAAGAAAAATTATCTCTGCTAAAATGAAGTAACATAAACAGCAACTACACCTCATTTGATCATCTGAAGAGGTGCTGGACAACTACACTGCCTACTGTCATTATAAAAAATGCCTTCAAAAGTAATACACATTATAAAAAACAGATTTTTTTTTTAAATCACAAGTTATTTAAAATCTCTGTAACATGTAAGGATATCAGCTTTGGCAAAGTCTCTTATCCCGCAGTGAGGAATTCCTGGAGTGTTTTGCATGCAGAAGTCCAGGTAGAACCAGTGGGCTAGCTCAATCTGGAAGCAAACTCGGATAGCATTGTCCCTTTCCTCACTGGGGATGTGCAGGATGAACCGGCTGGGGAAGCACAAACAATAAAGAAATGGGATTAGGACCAGAAACTGTATGTAGAGCTTCTCCTTTCACAGTACTGTCATTATACTTTGTGTTGCTCTACACCTCAATGTTTGTACTGTGTCTTGTTACTTCATGTTGTGTTTTTTCCATTTTAAAGCTTAAAGGAAGGACATTAACCAGATTCTAACAAATTAACTGCAGACAAACAGTTTGCATGGGAAAATGAGAAAAACTTTGCTAATGCTGAGAGGTGCTTTCTTTGTGATTCTTATAAACAACACTGAACATATATTACCAAAACCTTCCTTGACAAGGGGCTATTTAATTCTAATGCTGTTTTTGTTTGTTGAGCATCTGGTTATATTTAGGGAGTTAGGCATTCAAGTGTGATATGACTGGAGTCCATCTTAAGACATATGTATCCATATTTGGCTGTATAATCAACCAAATATACTTAGCAGCTTTGCTTTGCTGTTAAGTAAATGTGTTTCAGTCCGTGTATCTACTGGATCAGTGCTAGTAGCAATGTTCCTCCAGTTAACAGTTAAAAGCTTCTTGGCGAACAATAGGAACATGTACTCTTTTCTTACAGCATTTTACTCTAAGCACCAACACCATTGGGTCTGTAGAATAATAAGATTCTCCCCTTTCATATCCTGCCAATACCCCAGGCCCTCTCCTCAGTCATCACATTTAATTCAAGCTCCCACTTTTTTTTTTATTATTTTTTTTATACTGAGGGTATTTAGTGCCATGTCATTTACTAGTGTCCTATAGATGTGTGAGATACGAATCCAAGTCGTCAGATGTTTTTCAGTTACCGTAATAACATATTAGTCAATACTCGTTCATCTTTTCAAGCTTTCCCACTCACAGTGGGAAAGGGTGTAGTGCCTTAGATATAGGTAGCAAATCAAAACTTATGGGAGACGTGCAAATTGGTATTGTAATTGAGCAAATGACATTATTACCACGAAGTCAAAGTTATTGTATTCAAGCCTTTATTGTTTGAATCCATTACCCTACGACGACGATAGGTTGAAACTGATGTTACCAGCCACTGGATTAACTCGTGATACAGTGCTTCGCCCACGCTCCTTCTAAAAGGGTGGATTTCGGTTTGATGTAGTGGTCATCCTACGGATAAATAATATTCAGTGCACCCTTTACTATTTTCACAGTACACATACTGACTGAGCTACGGAGAGCTACAAAGATAATACCATGCGCCATAGACGCCACTGCTCTTGATCTTGGACTTCTGTTCATCGTGATACCACTTAATCGGTTTTTGTGATAACAATTAAATTAAAGTAAATAACAGTGTTAGATGTCCCCAGGAAACACCAAGTTACCTGCAGAGATCGTCCAATACGCTGGAGGGTATCTCCACTCTTTTTGTTTCCATGTTGGTGCCCGACATCCCGATTGCTTCTCACCATCCAAGTACAAAAGCCATTAGAGTCGCACACTAGTCCATGGTTTTTAGTTTACGTTCTATTTCTAGCGCGATAAATCTCCAGCTTCAAACAAACTAGGAACGAGCAGCTTTCACTAACTACGAATTCGCCGTGCTCCTCCGGAATATGATGTTGAGGTTGCGTTCAAGTCATGTAGGATAGATGAAAATACATTGAAAGATAGTGGTTTGGAGAAGTGACGGGTACTAATTCAGCTGTGTGACTGTGGGTGTAAGAAAAACAAGTTTTTGTTTGTAGATGAAAACACTACACATTAATATTATACACCAACACAATGCCCGCTGAATGTGAGTTTATTTACACAGAATAGTGGACCTTTCCTGATTTGTGGTATTTCGAATGTTATATAAAAAATTCGACTCTCACAGGAAACTCGGACTCTCCCGTGATGCCAACGCGAACGCCATGTACAAATTAGAAGTTTATTATTACAACACCTTGAAATAAAATGAACGCCACGTTAGTTCACAACCGGATGTTCGTCATTTGGCTTCCCTTTCGGTCACATGATGAGCTCAGTCTGAAGCATTTTTTTTCTTTCAATGAACTTTATTTGTCAACAACAATATAAACATATGAGGCACCGTTATTAATGCATCTATTCGGTTGAGCATTACAATAAGAGAAAAAGAAACACCAAAAAAAAAGAGAAAAAACAAAAGAAAGAAACAAGACAAAATTGAGAGCATAGGTACAAAAAGTGTTAACAAAAAGGGAAATCATGATCAATATCTCAGATAGGGAGGCCTCCTTTTAACAAAAACTGAACTTACTGAATAATACAACAACTTAGCGGGCTTTTTTGTCATTTACAAGTTTCAGCGAGTTCTGCAGCATGGGTTAGTTAGTGATGGGGTTCTTGTTCCAAAAGAAGAGCTGGCTCTTTTGGGTCCCAAATGGCTCTAAATAAAAAAACAAAACAAAAAAACAAACAAACATCTGTAGCCTCATATTTTATCTTTAATCGGCAAATATGAATGCTTTGTGTTTTGATAAACCCTTTTGCATTTAGTGTTTTTATGAGAAGCCTTATAACTGCCAAATTTTATGTATTTGTTCTGTTACAAAAGCAGGCATTCTTACTTTTGTTTAATATTTTAATTAAACTTTTCATTTTAATTCAACACAAAAATAAAACACTGCAAACAAATACAAAGAACAGAAACAGAACCAAACTCAGTAGCCAAACAGTATGTCCTTAATGCAGGTTGGCATTCAGAAAAATCAAATGCCTCAGCTTAGATGGGCTGTTTCGGTTTCTCCTCTTAGTTAGTATCTGCTTCTTCTTTAAACTGCAGCCAGATGCTGCTTCATTTACAGTTGTCAGTCATATGAGTTTTTGCGATGCACTTGCACCGTCTCACTCACTGACTGAGGGGTAATGACATGAGAAGCAACCCTGAAAAATTGATACTTCATTTCATGTTGCAGGATCAAATATGAAAATATCAATATCTGATTGGATTAAATTGGTTTTCTCACTCATAGTCTTAGAGAGACCAAGACTAGTCTTCCCTGCACCTTCTTCACATATGATGGGAGGCCAACTGTGTAGATAGTTGTTAAGCTCTGAGGTTGTTTACCATAACACCAGGATCTTGTCCTGCTTCAGACAGACTGAAAATACACTGGGGTCAGCATCCACTGACCCCACTCTGTGATGTTATATGGCCTACCACTTTGGGAATGACAGCAAAATAATTCAGGATCACAGACCACTGTTTAGCAAAGTCCTCAATAATAATTATATAATTACTATATAACATCTGTCTTTCTTTTAGACCAATGACTGTCCAATAACTCCAGGGGTAACAGAAAATGAAAAGAGAGAAATATTCAATAAGTGATCCTTGCTTATATCCAAGATCAAAGAAGACAGCCAGATTGCTTTGAGAGGTGAAAGTACAACTGAGAAAACCTCGTGGGTTTTTGTTTCCATCGTATGTTAAAATAAAATAATAAATTTTGTCCAAATCAAATAGATGAGGCACATGCAATAGAAAAAAAAGAATATAAGTTTAATACAACGTGCAACAATATATACACATTAACAGCATATCAAATATTACAAAAAGAACAGTGATCACACGAACACATTAAATGTATTCTGCAAAGTAAAACCCCTCAACAATGTTTACAAAAAAAGCGGGGGGAATGAAAAAGCTTCTGGTTTCATTGGATGCCATTTGTTTTAAGTCAACGTGTGAAAAGGAACCAAACCTCAACTCTCCACATTGTAGCATACAATTAGAAAACCTTTAATATAACAGTTGTAATTTAAACTAAATCAAAATGAAACAAATGTATTTCTGTTATGGGATTAAGAATTACAGATTATCCACCCCACGGATCCTCCGGGCTAGCTGAATGTCACGAGGGAATACAGTGACTCTCTTGGCGTGGATGGCACACAGGTTGGCATCTGAAAATATCAAGACGAGAAAAGCCTCTGCAGCCTGGGAGGACAAGGATGTAGAAACGTTTGATTGGCAAGCTTTACTATGGCTTAATAGGAATGTGTAATAATTACACAATATACACAATAAATAATTACATTATTTAGTTAACAAAAAGAAAGCCAAACAACACCAGCGACAAACTTGGAGGGCAATTGTTGCTGTTCAGAAGTGGGTTTATAAAAAGAGTTGCAAGGCCATTTCTAAAACAAGTCCATCAATGTACAGTGAAAAATATTATTCAGAAATGGGAAACATTCAAGGCAGTCACTAATCTTACCAGGAAATTTAACCCAAGGTCAGACTATGTAATGCTTCGAGAAACTATAAAAAACCCCGAGAGCTACATTTCACTCTTAAAAAAAGCTCCTAAAATCCTCAGTTACAGTTAGCACGTTACGTTTGAAAAAGACTGGACAACCGCATATCAGGACAAACACCTTATACCAAACAAAAGTATAACATGTAACTTTTTGCCAAAAGTATTGAGCAAAGGCTGTGAATACTTATGTACATGTTTTGGTTTTTATTTTTAATAAATTTGCAAGAATTCTAAGCAAAAATTGTTCACTTTTTCATTATGAGATGTTGTGTATAATATTTTGAGGTAAAAAATGAATTCAATCCATTTTGGAATCAGGCTCAAACATGATAAAACTGTAACAAGTGAAGCACTGTGAATACTTTTCTGTCACAGTCACCTGTGTGAAAAGGGTACATAAGCTATCAACTGATCTCCACCTAATGGCAGTATGGCGATCTAAATGGCCTTATTTAAGGCAAAAAAACCCCCCAAAACAAACAAACAAAAAAAACAAAACACTGCACACCATCACACTTGTAATTCTAGGTAAATATATCAAATAGACAAGTGAACACTACAAGTGTCCACAATTCATCAAAAGGCTAATGGAGATGGCGTCTTACCTCTTGGAGGGCCAGAAGAGCATAAACCTGCCATCGAAGATTTTCTCTAGAAAAGCTTTGGCACACCTCATGCACCTAAATCAAAAGGAAGAACCAACATCTTTTTAAGAAACAGAGGCTTCAGTCACATAGAACCCCCCCCACACACACACACACACACACACACACGCACACAACAAACACACAAAAAACCCTCTAGACAGTGATGCTTTTTCAACACCAACTATACGAGTATGTAACTGATTTGTTTAAAAAAACTGCACATGAACTCAGAAATTTTGGCACATGTCTGCCGTAGCAGTATCCCCTGAATGAGATGGTGGCCACCAGAGGTGATTACAGCTGTCAAGCTGAAGAAGGAGCACTGTTCGGACTTGGTTTGCCTGCCGGACTCCAGAGACAGCTGACAGGTCCTGACATCCCAAGCAGAGTGCAGCTCTGGTAGTAGCTGAAGCAAAAACTTGGGTGTGAGAGAAGTTCCCTGCCTGATCTTTGTGTTAACACTATTATTGCTAGCTCTTTAAAGGTGAAAAATTAGATTGCAGACACAAGCGGCAAATATAATCTGATCCTCCATGACGAAAGAAGCCAGCTGACGCAAGCGCCTCCCAGATAAAGTATTCTTACTGGGCAGCCCAAAACCTCTGCTTTCATAGAAGCGCTCACATTTCCTACTGATCAGTAAATCAAGTGCATTTGATTAGTAACACCTGGCTGTTACTTTGTGCATAGGCCAACAATACTGGACCTGGTGAAATGTGGCTGGTATTGGACAGCACCACAGGCCCTGGTGTAATGTGGATTGCCTTAACAGGGAAAGTAAGTTCACCATTACTTCTTCCACAGTTTTTTCGCAGGACTCTATGCAGTCCTGCATCATATGTACAATCCTTCATTTGACTGTATGTATTATGCAGTTAATTTATTTTTTATTTAATAACTATTTTTTGTGCCTGCAGGTCATTGAGAGAATCGACTCTGATGGCACCAAATGCCCGAATCCTAGTCCTAGATCAGCCCCAAAGAGGACAAGACTAAAATTCCCTTGTGTCCTTCAAAGAGATTATAGACATTGAATTGTACAACAGAATCAGCTCCTTTTATCTTGGTTCTTTTTGCTGCCAGTTTCAGCCTAAAATTCTGTGAACACAGTAAAGATTATTTACATGCTATCATCGTGAGGATGGAGACATAGATTTTGTACCGGACAAGTAGATATCTATAATGGTTATTAACATTAAGACCCGAGTTAAGAGACAGAATATATGAGCATATTTGTAATTACTGTAGTTTCTCTTTCTTGTACTTCCAACAATTAAAAGGCATTGAAAAAAAGAAAATTTCTATTGATTCAACTAAAAAAAACAAAAAGACAACAACGCAAAAACAGATTCACTCCTGTAACAATGTAAACAATGAAAAAAGAAATGCTGTAAATGAAAATACAGTTTAAAAATAAATAAATAAATAAATAAATAAATAAAGACTCCCAGTGGGTAAAAAGTGACTTTATCTGTGTCTGGTCTGCTGTTGTCAGACTCACCAAACGGGCAAAGGGCGCCTTTCTAAGGAGGAGATCTGTGCTTTTCTGGTACTTGCGGATCTCCATCAAAGCTCTGGTTCCTGGTCGAAATTTCCTCTTCTTGGGGGAAACAGGAGGCTGTCCTAAATGCACAAATACAGTTTGTTAGCAAGACAATTAAGTAAAATCTTTGATAATCAAATAAGCCTTTGATTTTAAGTGCTGAAAAGTGTGTGTGTGTGTGTGTGTGAGAGAGAGAGAGTGTGAGTGAGTGTGAGTGAGTGAGTGAGAGAGAGATGAAGAGAGAGAGAGACGCCAGACATTACCGTCAGCCCGCTGCTCCCCCTCTCGCGCGCCGACACACACACACACACGCACACACACACACACACACACAACAAACATTAAAATTCACATCTCTAACCTGGAACTCCACTGCGTCTTGGGGATGTTACACTGGGGGTCCTTTGGGCTGGCACTTGGGGGCGCCGTTGAGGGGTTTTACCCTTCCGACGGCTGGCAGATGAATTATGACGCATTGCTACAAATGTACAGGCGACAATTACAAAGGGAATAACACCAAGGTCACAATTTAACTATGTCAGATTAGCGACATTACTAGAGGCACAAAAAAAACCAAAGAACAAACTTTCAAGTTTCCTTTTCAGTCAGTAACTGTACTTATTATTTTATCAGACAAGGTAAGCAGTTATCTTGTTTTCATTTTATTTAAACTTTATTTATCCAGGTAAATAAAGGTATAGAGGGTGGTATAGATTCACCCTCTCTTCTGATAAAACAGCTTAAAAGGCCTAGAAAAGATCATCAGATTACAGAAGAAAATGCTCGGCAGATTGATTTTGTCTCAAATGCATTCAAAGTAAAAGGGGAAGTGTGGCTTACTTCAAATCACAGATCATTAGAAACATCAAGCTACCTTGACACATGAGAAGCAGCTCTTGTTTGCAAAGGTACTCATGCCAGTGGGATACGTCATTTTATAACTGCTTGAATGAGAAGGGAAAGCAGGACATGTGCCAATCTTATCCAAGTGTGTCAAGCCTTTTTCCCCCCCAGACACTAACTACTTCAGCTCCATCTTCAAAAATTACTTTTCTCAAGAATACACCAACAGTCCAAAGTCATTTAATGTTTTTTCTAAATTTTTTTTTTTTTTTTTACTCCTTTCTACTTGAAAAATTTATGGGGGAAAAAAAAAAAAAAAGTCCAAGCTAACTTCTTCAGATCTGTCTTTGGTGTTCAGCAAAAAAATAAAATAAATAAAAATTAATTATCTATAATCATATATAGATAAATATTATCTATATTATATATACATTCATATTAGAGTCTTTAGTATATATATCATATATATTAATACACTCTATATATTATATTATACACATCATCATATCATTATATACATCTATATATCTATATATCATATCACACAAATCACATCATATATATTACATATATACACACACACACATTATATATATATCACACACACATATCATATATCACTACAACACATACATCTATCATATCATATATATAAATAATACAATATATATATAACACATAATATATATATACACACACATATATCATAACACATACATATATACACATACATACTATATATATACACTATACATACATATATATACACATACATACATACACACACATATAAATACATGCAGTATCTTTGCTGTTCTTAGGACTATATTGTTCCTAGGATCTGCTGGAGCCATTTCCCAAGCCTCCGTTCGCTGCTCAGATCACCACTGTTACCCTCATCCTCCGCATCTTCTCCAGTTCTTCTCGCAGCCCTCGGTACCTCTCCAGCAAGTTCCTTCTTCCTGATGTTGCTGTCATTCAGTATAGCTACATCTATCACTATGGCTGTCTTCCTCTGCTATGTACAGTTGGTTAGCCATCACTAGTTTGTCCGTCTGTATCTGGAAATCCCATGGGATCTTAGCTTGGTCATTCTCGACCACACTAGGGTGGTCATTTTAACCTCGGGACTTGAGTTTAAAAGATGTTCCTGTATAATATGGGTGCCTGCTAGCATTTTCACCCTGCTGTTATGTGCTGAATTGTCTCAGGGGTATCTTTACACAGCCTAAACATGGGTTCTTGCCTGGTGTGACAGACCCCTGCCTCTATGGATCTTGTACTCAAAATTAAAAGCCTTGGTAATGTTCACTTCACAGCTAGTTGCTAGCCCATACAGACCTTTGCACATCAGTGGTTCCTTCCTACATTGAGAATCCAAAGCATATATAGCTAAAGGACATCTTATAGCTTAAAGATGTACTGCACACCTGGCAGTTGGCTTGAATCGGGGTCAGATCACATTCACACCATAAACAAACCAGGAGTTCATTAGGAAACGTACAGAGACCACCTTCTCCAAAGGGTCTCTGTGGGATTACTGTGTTCCTAACAAAGTACCCTAACAAATTAGTCACAAAGAATATCCTTAGAATGCATCACAAACCAAATTTTAAACAATGGATATAATCCATTTTGGAGAAAAAGCTGTAATACCATAAAATGAGGACAAAGTTGTAGTTTTAAGTGGCATTGTTGTCAAGCTCTGCACTGTGTCCCTTTTCTAATCTGACACAATTTCTTGTTTCTTATACACTCTACAACATGCAATTCTGAGGTCTTCTCTGGTACCTTCATTCAAGCAACTGTTTCAAATTACATTTTAGAAAAACAGAAAATTATGACACGGGCATTATAAATAAAGCCTAATATAACTATGCTGGGATGCTATGTCATATTCCTGCGAAGAATCACAGCGTTTTAAAACTACTGTATACAAGGAAATTGACAAGTTGCAGTCGCTAAAATACAAGCTACGCTATATAGCTAATACATAGTGTTGCTATAATATGAGCAAACAAATTTTATTAAAATATAGAGAAAGCTAGAGATAAGACCACCTTGATATAAAATATTTGATCTATTCGATCGAACCATTGGGTCCTGTTGCAAAAACTCGTTCGGAAATGGCAATAAAAAGGTAGTGAGGATTAACAATTTCAAATGGGTGACTAACTGACATCAAATTATCCACAAGAAATTGCACGGGGAAAACGTATGAATGCCTTGTACAATATTTAGAGCAACATTACTCGGTTTCCACAGAGACGTCTGCTAAGGTCACACATGAAGCTTAAAAATAATAACGTGTTTAGTTTTTATTATTATTATAATTATTATTTCCCCACAAAATAAAGGTTTCATGCACGACTCGTACGGCCAAATGGAACAGAAGGTCCTTGCTTTTCAGATTGTTTATCTAAATGACATGTTCTAGGAGCTATTACACGTGAACAACAACACATTCACCCTTGAAAATGTTTCATTAGAAAAGTAAAATAATAGTACACGTACCTGTTGGGTTCAACACCACTTCTCAACTTGAAATACTCGAAGCCGATATAACTACCCGAAAAGCTACAAACGCCACACACTCCAGACTGAAATTCAAATAACGCCCCCCGCTGGCTCAGCCAATCAGCTTTGATCCAGCTCGCGGGCCAGATTCTTCTTCTTCGTCTTTTTCCGTTTCACGTATGGCTCACAACTTGCGACACACGCCTGCTGGCCTCTACTGTTTATATCCAAGTTCCGTTTGAAACTTACTGAAATGTTACCACTATAAAGCTATTCGGTAATTTTTGTTCATTGCCATTTTAGGCTAGTTAATCCAAGATGAGCAAGGTTTTGAAATTGTTGTCCAGCCGCTCACAAGTCTTTAATCAGTCTCTAAACTCTTCTGGTGTGCATAATACCAGTAAAAGAGATGTATATCTTTTATTAAAATAAAGGTAAAAATAAAATAAAATTCTTGCAGTGGTAAAGATTGAGTCGTCATACTGGTTTTGAGCTGTCCCTCTTATACTTGCCTACCAGATGTTTTCCATACAGGACAAGCCCTGTCTTAACTATTTGATACTCAAAAATTAAAGAAAACCTTTATTCTTCTTTTATAAACTATGCTCTTAGAATCAGAAAGTATGTACACAGTTTCTGCATTTAGATTTTGTTCCTTTAATTTTGTACTGGAATCAATTTTCCAAGTATTCTGCTCAGTTTCTTTACCTAAATTATTCATTACAGAAGTGTAATCTGAAAGTGGGTGTTGTTGGGCAATTTGTATTCTTTTCTCATGACACAGCATTTGTTGCCAAGTGATCTACAAACTTGTCCCCCTGTAAACTGCATGTGGTGATGCATAAAAAAGCCATCTCACTACCTGCTTAGTAATATCTGTGTGATAAAGCTCTAAAATTGTATCCGTTTGGGACTTGGATTTTATTTCTCTTAAAATAGTTAAAGCTATTGTCGACCACTAAAATAATAATTCCTGTGTGTTTGCTGTGAATACCCTTACTGTGATCTGATCTTCCATGTACTTTTTCAGGATTCATTAAATGTTGCTCACCCACTTTTTGGATCCTTTGGTGGATATGTGTAAATCAGTGAGTGTGCATTGTCTGGAGCTCTTTAGAGATAACCCTTTGGAAGCTATTGTTAAAAGACAGAGAAGTGTGTGACATAATAATCTTCAAATTATTCAATAAATAATCAAATATATACTATAAAGCATAATGCTGTGACATTATAAAGCTCAGCAATTAGCAATGCATGAAAATAAGATTTTATTGTGTTTTCACAGACCAGTAGGTCACCAAAAGTGATTTTTAATAAATTCCTTAATAATTCTTTAGACAACGGATCATGTTCTGCTATATATAGATTTTTTTTTAGTAAGAAAAAGAAATAGTTACCATCTTCCAGTATTTTTCAGCAGTAGTCACTAAATAAATTTGCGAACACTAATCATTTAACAAGGTTTTTTTTATTCATCCTATTCTACTGAATACATTTTATTCTAGCTGAAAAATGCTGCTGAATTTCATTCAGTGTCCATAATCTGAACAGATTCATTGACCACATCCAGGGACAGGGGTGTCACAGTTTTGGTCAGGACAGCGGTGGTCCCAGTCTTATACCTGTACTGCCCTTCTCTGAAAAGAAAAGACAGAGAGAGAGAGAAAATGTAACGCATTAGATTTATCTAATTGGATTTGGATTAGATATTTCCTAAAGAAGAAAAACTGTCAGGTCAGTTTCAGATTTATCCACACATTCTATTTTATTTAGGACAAAAGTTAAATAAAAAGTTAAGCTGAAAAGAAGCCGTTTACTGTGCTCCTCTGAGTAGAAGCAAAGTAGGAATAATTCTGGTTTGAGTGACACTTCTTTTGGGATAATCTTGAGGAGTTTTACATGTTTGATGTTAAGCAGATATGTTTGTAGTGACTGTCAAATGTCAAGAAAATCTGACCAAACTAATAACGGCCTCAATGCCCAACTTCGTCCAGTGATTCAGGAAAAGTTTTCTGCATAGCATCTACAGTTTTGCTTTTCTATGAAAAGCAGGTGGACAAGCAGAAGTTTAAAAATTGTGATTAACTTTAAACTTTGGTGTTAAATCGCATTGGTTTAACTGCTTTGTTACTCTTGCTGCTATTGTTGATGCCTATATTAAGCAGAATTTAGTGATCCTATTAGTCTTTTTGTCCTTTATGAAAATGCCCATGTGAGTGCTCTGATTATGTGACCAGCAGATTAACAAACGAAAAAACACAAATTAACAGTGTAATAGAATAATGGCTCACCTTTTCCCCTTCGTTGTGGGCTTGTCATAGCCACGCAAATATTCCACTCCAGCTTCAGTGATGACACACAAGTCGACGTTACTGCCTGAACCCAGGTCACAGAAAATCCCTGCAGCGATGGCATCTCGTACTAGCTGCTTCGCCTCTTCCAACTGAAGATATGTTATTAAATTTCATTCAATTTATATGTCTTTCCGATTCTGTGGACATTATTACTTCAATTTGTTTATTCTTAAAGATTTGACTCTTTATTTAATTACCTACAGTATGTCATAAGAGGGAACATGACAATGCCTTACCTCCATATTTGGTTTGAACCTGTCCTCAAATACAGAGACAGCAGCTGCTGCTCCAGATCCTAAAATCAGAGCCAAACATTGTTATTATTACTATTACTGTCACTGTCTGTTGCTAGGCAAAAGTATTTTCATTCAACTGTATGTTAATAATGATAATTTATGACTGAAAGTTGGAATGCTGTATGAAGTATTAAAAAAACAGGATGCAATGAGCTGAAAAAATGATTTGTATAAACTAAGAACATGTATAATTTTAAGAAATATATTATAATTTTTAATGGAGCAACACATCACAAAATGATAGATTCAGAATGCAGTTTAGCATCGTCTTGCTGAAATATGCAAGACCTTTAAAAAACATCATCTGGATGGCGCTTTCCAGATGTGCAAACTACCAATCCCATCAGAGATGCAGCCTTTTTAAACGAGATAGATAGAATAATGTTTTTCAAACATGTAAATATATGTAAAATAACAAGAGATAAGAAAAACTTAAAAACATCAAGTTTTCATGAATATCTCTATGTCTACACAATGTTTATGCTCATAAAGGAGTAGGGTGAAGTTTACACTTTTTCTGTTCCTTCCGCCTTATTTCAAATTCCATTATTTACAAATCAATATTCACAATTCGACATTATATGATCCACACATGTTTGACTGTATACAAGTCTAGACTCATATACAACACATAAACATACACACACACAAAAATTTCAACTTGTAAACCAAAACACTCTTGCCTCAGTCTATGAATTTGAGGACAAGGCTTCAACAGAACACAATGAGAGGAAATTTCCTATATTCACGCAATTTATCATTTATTAAACAATCACATGAATTTTTGTATTGATGTCTTTTTCTTAACTTCATTTGTACAGGAGTTCCACACACTAACTGTTGTGACTGTAATGCTGCGACATTTTACATTAGTCCTAACTACTGGCTTGCTGAACATAAGGATTCTTCCCAGGTTATGAGTATTTGGTCTTATCTGGAAAAAGTTCTGAATGTTGTGTGGCAAAGTTTACTTGCTGCTTTGTACATTGTACGGTTCTGAGGTCACCCAAATCCTTAAATCTGAGAATATTCAGTTTAATAAAAAGTGGATTTGATGGTTCTCTTGAGGTGGTTTTATTTATTATCCTTATTGCTCTTTTTTGCGGAATTGGATGGGTGTGTGCTTTATGCGTGTTTCCCCACACGTCCACACAATATGTCATGTACGGGAGTATCATAGAACAATAAAGAATATATAATGCATTTGATTTATACGATCCTTAACCTTGTAGAGAATTGCCAGAGAATTGCCATGTTATTTATTGTCAGTTTACTATTGGTAGAATATGTGTGATTCCCAAATATTATGAATTTTGTTCTACCCAGGTTCAATATTAATTTATTATAGTCAAACCAGGTCTTCAGATTATTTAGTTCATTTTCTAGTTCATTCAGAAGTTGTTCCAAGTTACTTCCACGGCACAGTAATTTTGTATCGTCTGCAAATAATATTATTTTCAAAGACTTTGAAATTGCACACATCTCATTAATGTACAATATGAAAAGCAGTGGCCCCAAAACTGACAGCATATTCTTTGATTTCAATAGCAGTTGTTACTGTATCTATAAACTTCATTAACGTATGTGTTGTGGTGCTTTTGCATCTAATCTGCTATTCATTGTTTTTTGTGATAAACTCATACAATCTATTTTAAAAAATATTTTTCCAGTATCTTAGAGAACTGTGGTATTAAAGAGATGGGCTGATGGTTTGCGAGAATATGTTTATCTCCAGCTTTATATATTGGAACTAACTTTGCAATTTTCATCTCAGGGAATACACCATTCTGTTATGACAGATTACAAATGTAGGTAAATGGTTTCACAATACATCCAATAATACCTTTATTTCAAATCATAACAATGCCATCACAGTCAGTTAGTTAATTTTTTGGAGTTAAAGGATGTAGCTACATAAATAATTTCCTCTTCATCTACTCCCCTTATAAACATTGAGTTTGCTACATTAATAGTTTTAGTTTTAGGAGCATGTCCAGCTTTTACAATTCCTTAAGCCAAGACAGGATCAAAATCAAGAAAAAAGTCATTAAAACCATTTGCAATTTCTTTTATGTCACTGATCATTGTATTTTGTATTTGCAAGTTATTTTGATATTCTAATCCCTTAGTTCCTTTATTTACAATGTTATTTAGTATTGTCCACATGTTTTTCATGTTATTCTTATTTTCATCTAAAACTTTACTGTAGTCATTTCTTTTGCTGCTTCTTATAATTTTTATCAATTTATTCTTATACCTCTTATAAGTTTGTTCAGCTTCTATTGTTCTTTAAAAAAATAAAATAAAATTATACAACAGAGTTTTCAAATGCCACGTCAACATCTTGAACATAGATGTTACTCCAGTCTTGGCTGTTGAGGCGGCAAATTGCTTCTTGTGTTTTATGTCTAATTAATTTCTTATTAGGTTCACATCTGTTAATACTGGCATAGTTCTGTAATGTTGCAAAAACTGGTAGATGGTAACATATGTCATTTATTATTAATCCACTTAAAACATTCCTGTCAACAGCATTAGTGAAAATATTATCGATAAGTGTAGAAGTTATCGGTTATTCAGGCTATTCTTGTTGGACGGGAGATTGAGGGATAAAGACATAATGCTAGACATTGTATGTGTGATGGCTGCACTTACAGCCACACAGTGGTAATGGCCACCATATTAGCGTAAAGGCTTATACATAACACTGCATTCACATTTGTCTTTAAATATAGGAATTAATTTACAGGACAATGAATAACTGGTTTTGGTTTAGAATTAATTAACATATCCACATAACACTGCATTATAAAATAAGTGCGCACATTTTAGTTTTAGTTAAGTATGATTAATCTTTGATTTTTGAGTTACCTTAGTTGCAGCTGCTCCAGTCCCTTGATTGAGGAGCCAAGAGGTGGAAAAGGGGCGGAGCAAGCCTTGATGGAAAACTGCAAATTTGCTCATTCCATAACTCGGGACCATGGGGGGAATTGGAGTTCGTTATGTTAGTTTCAGTTAGGTTTTTTGTGTGTTTTACCCCTTGTGTTTTTTGTGGACTGATCAGCCACTATTTAAGTTTCCCCTTTGTCTTGTTAAGTTAGGTCAGTTTGTTTGAGTTATCAGTATTGTTTGTTAACTTTGAGCAGAGTTCTGCAATTTTGACCTCTTTTATGGGCCCAAGACTTTGATTCTTTTTGAATGATTTCCTTCGCTGCTGGGCCATCACAGTATGAATGAAATTAGTGATGGTGCTGTTCGCAGTTGGATTCAACAAATCTATACTGAAATCAACACAAATAAATGTCATTTTCTTGCTGTTAACAGGATTATACTTGTTCATCTAAACTGTAATTCTAATGAATGTACTCAGCTTGAATCTGTATGACGCAAGCAGGGCGAGAGGAATAACAAATATTTGTGTAAAAATGTAGGGTACAAATGTAAAAAAATAGATAATAAAGTACAAATATGTTTGTTACTTCCTACCTCTGGAAGACAGTCATTTCTGGAAGTGTTCCTGTGCATATGTAGTGTATAAACATGTAGTTTATACTGTGATGAGCTATTCAAGGTCTTCACAGTTTTATGAGGAACAAACACTGACCTGACTCATTTAAACATTAAAGAGGAACCTAAAGGGATGAATCTGTTTTATGTCTATACATATAAAAGACAGAAAACATACCAAAGAACCTATTTTAAATTGTATCATTAAGAACTTTGTTACTACCAGCCTGCAGTTTATACAGGATCACCCCAAGCAAGTCACCCCAAGGCTGTTTTTTATTGTGAGGTAAAGACCCTACAGTATTAGAAAGAAAGGAATTGGTGAGGAGTTTTAAAATATATATATATATATTTAACAGGAACAGGAACAAAAGCCCAGCAGAACCAGGCTCAAGGAGGTGCAGTTATGTGCTGAGGTCATTTGAGGTAAGGGGGAAAGGAAGAGAACAGAGAGAGGAAGAACACAAAAGGCAAACTACAGGAGAAGCCAGAGTTTATTAATTGCTAATGATTAAATACAGTGGTGGTGTATAAATACACAAGAGAGTGAAAGGAGATGAGTGAAGAAGAAATGCTTAAGCTTATTGCAGCATTACTAAAGGAGGATTTAGGGTCACCTGATCGAGCTCTAATATTAGGTTTTGTCGAAAATGAGAGTTTTGAACCTAATCTTAAAAGTAAAGAGGGTTACTGTCTCACGAATCCAAAATGGGAGCTACTCCATTCATACTGGCAGCTCCTCAAATGAGCCCTCCCAGCAAGTAAAATTATTAAATTTGGAATGAAGAGAATGAATTGGTGCTTCAGGACTGCTTTGATGCTACAAACTGGAGTGTGTTTAAGACTGCTGCCCTGAGAGAGCACAGTTCTGTGAATTTAGAGGAATAGCCAGTATGCATCAGTGGTTACCACTGATGCATACTGGCTTCCCTGGTTACCATCAGAGAAGCCAAGAGCCAGTACAGACTGAAGCTGGAAGGATATTACAACAACTCAGATTCCAGATTCATGTGGCAGGGCCTGCAATACATCATTGATTTCCAGCAGAGGAAAAGCAGGGTCACAGTCAGCTGCAACACATTACCAGACGAGCCGAATGAGCTCTACGCTGGCTTCGACACCTTCAACACCAACCAACACGGAGGCATTCTATCAGCAGAGGCGGCACAGAGCTCTTTGAGGGTCTGCTCTTCAGAGCTGGCTGATGTTTTTACAGACATTTTCAATTTGTCCGTCACCCAGTCAGCTGTGCCTACATGCTTCAAGTCCGCCACCATAGTGCCCTTTCCCCAAGAGAAACAACATAACCTGCTTGAATGACTATTGCCCCATCGCACTCACTTCAGTTGTGCTTTGAGAGGATAGTCATGACCCATATCAAAGAAGCCATCCCAGACACATTACACCCTCTGCAATTTGCATATCAGAAGAATCGTTCTACTGAAGACACTGTTAATGCAGTCATCCACACAGCCCTCTCACACCTCAAAAATAAGGACACCTATGTTTGAATGCTGTTTATAGACCTTAGTTTAGCATTGAACACTGTCATCCCAAACAGACTGGTGTGAAAGCTCTCTACTTTTCGACTGACACCCCCCCTCTGAAGCTGGGTCCTGGACTTCCTCACAGGCAGACATCAGACACAAACCAAGTACTCCCCAAGGCTGTGTTCTCAGTGTTCTCTGTGTTCTCTGTGTTCTCAGTTCACTCCTGTACACCCTCTTCACCTACGACTGTGTCCTCTCCCAGCAACACCTAAGTTCGCTGACAGCACAACCTTCATCAGGCTCACTGGTGAAGAGGAGACTGCTGGTATTCTCAGCTGGTATTCTGGTGCCTGGAAAATAGTCTCTCCTTAAATGCTGAGAAGGGTATGATGATTATTATTACAATTATTATTGTTGTCTGGGTCTACTTTGCTAGCGAGAGACAGAGAGTTGTTGAAAGGCTGCTCCAACAGAAATTATTGTTTCGGAGAAAAACACGAACACAGTGTACAGTCGAGTCTTAATGGCTTACTTACAACTGGGCTACACTGCCCATGAGGCTACATTCTTTAGAGCTATGCCTGTAACATTCTGCCTATTGCCTTCATATTAAATAATTTTTTGAACAATAATTTTTAAAAATATTTCTTCACGTCATTATGCGGGCCGCAAGTAGAGGTGACATGGGCCGCAATTTTGAGACCCAGGCATTAGAGCCTCTTAATGCGTGTTTTCTTTAGGGTTCCACCGGCGTGGAATTACCAAAAATAGAGAGGGCATAGCCTAACATATGAAACAGGAAAAGACCGCCATGTAATCCCTTTATTTCAACAATGTAACTGTATTCTGAATACCACCTTTTTAAATGGTAACTGTAACGGAATACAGTTACTCATATTTTGTATTTTAAAATTCAAACATGTATTCCGTTACTCCCCAACTCTGTTGACTGATTATTGACCCGAGGATGAGGAGAGGCCAGCACACCGCACTATACATCAACGGGACTCAGGTGGAGAGGGTGAAGACCTTCTAATTCCTCTACAGGTGCACAGTGGAGAGTATCCCGACAAATTCCATCATAGTATGGGAACAGCACCACTCAGGACAGGAAAGCTCTCCAGCGTGTCATTAAACGGCACAATTCATCTGTGGAGTACCCTTCCCACCACTACAGGACATTTACAACACTTGGGTCAGGAAAAGGGCACACAACATCATCAAGCACCGCACCAACCCACAGCACACATTGTTCTCACTCCTGCCATCTGGCAAATGCTACAGGAGTGTGAAAGCAAGGACAACCAGACTAACAAACAGTTCCAATCCAAAGGCTATCAGGCTACTGAATTACTGACTTATGACCTGTAATTTGCAATTTTGTACAGTTGTATACAACATAACACAACTTCAGACACTATCAACATTTTAATACCACATACTCTGTATATATTACCACTGTGACAGTGTTGCAACTACTTGCAATTTAAATTCTGACTACACCTACACATAAGCTACAAGTGCTACAAACTTGTACTTGTTTTACTTTATTTATTATTTTCAATGCTATATTCTATGCTCAGAGTTAAGTTTAGTCTTTATTTTTATTTTTATTTTATGTTTGTTTTTATTTAGTTGTGTGAAGGGAACCTGCAAAGTAAGAATTCCATTGCTCTGCTTAACCACTTGAATCTCTTGAATCTTTCACAGGAGTTGGGCCTAGAAGCTGAAGGCTCTGTAACCCATTCTATTTTTGAAAACTATAGAATATGGTAAAATGGTAAATTGTTATTGTACATGTACAACGAAATTGTGTACAGTGAGGAACTACACTAAGCCTACAGTATAAGTGTTGTGTTGGGATAGTAAGGTAGTATCAAGTCTCTAAGATATGAGTTTTGGAATATACTTGGAGAAGCTTGGAGAGCATGAAAGCTACTTAAAGACATTACAAGAAAGCTTGCCTAAGAGAGGTCAGATTGTGTTGTAAAATAAAGGTGGTCATCCCAAATATTAACTTTAAGCTTGTTAGACTTGTGCAGGGCAGCATTGTTGCCGTACAACAAGAAGGTCCACGGCAACTCCAGCATCTGGGCCTTTCTGTCTGGAGTTTGCATGCAGTTTGAATCAATGCGAGTTCTCTCTGGGTAATATCTCCCACAGTGCAAACACATGCAGTTAGTGGGGTTAGGTTAATTGGTAATTCTAAATCGCCTGTAGGTGTGTATGGTATATGAGTGTGAATGGTTGTCTGTCTCTGCCTGTGAGCACTGCAAAAGACTAACAACCTGTCCACGGTGTACCCAGCCTCTTGTACTATGGCGGCTGGGATAAATTCCAGCCCCGCAAGATAGATAGATGGATGGGTGGAATTGTCCAAACTCTACATTTCCCTTATATACTGTACTTGCATATGTGTTTGCACATTTCAAAATTACCGTTTGTATTTGCTACTTTCATAGCAAAATAAAAAGCAATAACAGGTGCCTCAAGACTTTTGCACAGTACTGTTTTTATCATAAAGTAGTAAAACATCTCAGTTTAGGCATTTGGTATGTTTATAATATGTTATATGGTCAATAAAATATTAATTTATGAGATTTGCAAACTGCTGGATTCTGTCTGTGACCCACACCTGTTTTCACACCTCGGCTCATATGATTAGGTAGAGGATCATCAGGGGATCCTTTGTCCCTCTTTGGGGGGGAAACTCCCACTGGGTTTATATCTGGGACTCTCCACCATTTGACCCTTAGAACCGAAGAAGCTTCTCAGATGAGAGGTGAAACGTCTTCAAGCAACTTAAACAAGTCCAGAGGCTTTTCTTTCCAAGCTCCGTAGACTGGTGGATTCTGTTTTTTTATTGATGTTTTAAACCAAGTTCCAACTTTTAAAATTATTTGATTTTTCTTCTAGAAAACTCTTAGACACCTGCCATAGCATTCTGCACATATAGTAGACAGTACCCTAAACATATACATACCCATGGTGAGAAAAGGCAGTTTGTCATAAGAGCCATGAGGGTAAACACTGTACAGGTGAGCTCCAGTCACATCAACTCCTCCAACAATCAGAGATGACCCCACGTGACCCTGGTACCTGACAAATCAAACAGATGGCATTACCACAACATCCAGCTTTTTTTGTTAGAGGAATACGGAGCACATCCTCCAAAATGTGCACATGTGAATAAGCAACAAAACAAAAACAATAGAGTACAGAGACAATGAGGGTACACGAATGCTTATCGCTCCAGCAAGCCCTAGTTCAGAAGCTAATGATAGAAAATTATCCAATTTAAATTTTAGTAAAATAATAGTGTGTAACCCTTGTTTATTTTCCCATAATAAGTTATCTTTACCCAACCATAGCAGCTCTAGGCCCGACAATTTGAATATTGCTTGTTTAGCATCCAACTATTAGTTACTTATGCTCTATTGCTCTCACCTGAACAGCATTTGTTTGAGCTGTCTGGTAACCATAGCAACAAGTGGGGGTCGCCCAGTGTTGAGCATGTGAAGTTCCACATTGGATGACATGATTTGTGTAGTTATTTCTGCATCTGCAGCAACACCAGCTCCACAGCAGCTACAAAACATACAAAAAAATTGTTAGACAAGTCAAACAATAACCCGTTTGACGAACATGGCATAAGTATCTCTGCTTAGCCTTTGACGCATAAAGAAAAAAAGCCACATTTTTGTACTTTTGTACATTTTTATGCATTTTTTAATTTCTTTTGTTTTGGAGATACATGGCAGAACGGTATACCATGTATTGCCTCAAGTCTTATTATCCCTCTCTGTTTTTATTCTTCTTTGTCTCTTTGTTTTTTGTGTTTTTAAGAGAGGAGAGAGATCTGAAGAAAGTAAATAAGCCATATAGTTGCTGAATCTGTCCTCATTTTGAAAATTAAGTCTGTCCTCCGAAGTAGACCCTTGCATCAGCAAGTATAAGTGTCAGTATAACAATGCATCCATAGTGTCTATAGCTGTCCATGTGTATGACACCCAGGAAGGTGCCAGTTTGCTCTGATGATGTGTGGTGCATCTCCTGCCCTGGAACTGGAGAAGCATCAGACAAGGGGCACCAGGAGACAAGGAGGAGGAGACATGAGAACTAAGGAGGCATTGGCCAAGTCAGGAACTGAAAAGTCATCAGTAATTTTGAAGAAAAAAATTAAATGTTAGCAATAGTATTTGCATTCTAGCTATTGGAATGTTTTTCTCTGAAGAGAGAATGATGGCAGAATCGGCACTAGACGAGCAGATAGGGGCCACAAGAGGTAGACTTTGGAATGTGACCATTTAGTTTGTAAGCTGATTCAGGCAGATGGCTGGCTGATGGGCCATACTGGTTTAAATCTTGACATCAGGAAAGAAATCAAGAAACTGAATGAAATGAAGCTGGCATGCTAGGAGCCTTGCCGCCATCGGGGGTCTTGTTTTCTAGTGAGAGCTATCTTCAAAGTGAGTGAGGAGTCAATTCGACTTGTCCTGTAAAATTAATGAGTAAACTTACTAGATTTTTGGAGCAATGTAGTGAATTTTCATGCAGTTTTTGTCAGCCACAACCATGTCATCTGTAGCTCTGGTATCTGCTCCCAAGATGACTCCATCCTAACACCACAAAAAGGAAATATAAAAGTTAACACACTTTAAATGATAATTCAGCTTCCTAGTGTATTACTAGTGTTGTCCAACCACTGATGATTAATCCAAACCTTGTATACAATTCCAGCAATGGTGGTGCCTGTCTTCCTGGCATTAGGAGCTTTGTAACCAGCCTGAGACAAATTAGACTCCAGCACGGCATTCCTGGTAATGACACGGCAGAGAAAAGGGAAGACAGAGAGCCTCACATTAGTGTGAAATCGCTAATCTTTTTTTTTTTTTTTGTTCCGCCATTAATGTCGTAAAGCCGTTTTTGTAAACGCTGTTAAATCCAGTTTGTGTACCTGCGGCTGTTCTCAAAAGAGAAACCTCCCGGCTGAAGCGCAAAGGAATTCAGACTGTGCAGCATATTAGGTGCTGATTCTAAAGTAAAAGACTAAAAATCAAAGAAAACCCTTGTCGCGGTGCGTCAGTTTGTGTAGGTGCTTCTCAGAAATTTTCGCTTTTACTTTCACTTCTCAGAACAAGTCCCGCCTTACCCGCTGTAAAAAAAATATCCACATCCGTCTGACATTTGCTCTTTTCTCTTATCTGTTCTCGTTGTTTATTGTTATTCGTTCTAAATAATTATTCATTTCCATGAAAAATGTGTTCAAAGAATAGTAAAGATATATGAGTTTTGTTAATTTGTTAACACGAATAATCTCATAAACCACTAAAATTAACTTCTGAATTACATTGGTAATGTTTCTTTGCAGTGTATTAAACGTTACCTGCAAAGATGGAACCTGCTCCCGGAGGCTTAAACTGGCTTAAAGTGGCAGTTTAAGTGAGGCATCAGGATGAAACCTTTAGTCTGGGTTTAGTCTTTTTCTCCTCGCTTTTTTTTTTTTTTTTTTTAATGTTAAGGCCTAGACATCTATTGTAGACTATCTTTTCACCATTAGTGGTCAAGAACTGAACTGGAATTCAAAAAATAAAATAGCGTTATGGCACCTTCAGTAGGTTATTAAATCTGTCAGTTTAACTGTCTAAGATATTTTCTAATGTACTGCAGGCTGGCGACAATAACAAACGGACATCCTTACACCCTATCCCTTTTTTTCTCCTCGTGTCATGGCGCAGATGTTTACGTTGGGCTTGTAACATAGTTAAAAAGGTTCAAGTAGCCTTTTTGTTTGTACTGATACATAAAGAAAGTTCTGCCAACAAAATATAAATAAATAAATAAATAAATAAATAAATAAATAAATAAATAAATAAATAAATAAATACAGCTAAATAGGACAATGTCACCATCTAGTGTCAAAAGTCATCCCGCACTGACTAGAAATGGCAAATGACTGTGGATAATCCTCAGCGTGATGAAGGATTAACGTTAGTGGTGTGATACGATGTTGGTATTCGCCCTAAACCAGGGCCAGGGTCATTACTGCCAATGCCAATACTGATATAGATACTTTTAAATTCAATTCAATTCACTTTTATTTATACTGGTTGATTGGTGCTGCGGCACTGATGCGGATGCTGTACCAGTATGTTGTGGTGAAGAAAAAGCGCTTATGTATGGAAAGATTTTCACGGACACAATACATACTCAACTCTACTGCTCCAGCCACAGATGCATTTTCCTTACAAATGTGGGGCCATTTAAGGAGACATAAACAGGCTTTAAACAGTGTGAGATTTACTGGGAACAAGCATTGTTACAACAAGGAAATCATCAACCAAACATAAGTGTCTAAAATTTTTGTACTAAGTTTATTTGGCCAATCTGCACAGCTTTATGTTGTGTCACATATATCATTTCAGAAAGGGCTCTGTAATACACTTGAAATGGGCCACACGTTGGAACAGAGAGTAGCAATGTGGCTCTGAAACAAGTATTAGTAGAGAAATACTTAAATATATCTTTTGATATATGTACAGCGGTGCCACTGAAGCAGATAAGGATGCTCAGCTCACAGCTGACTCACAGTTCAAGATGAAGGCAAACATAGAGAATCAAGGCTGAGATGGTTTGGACATGTACAGAGGATGTTGAAGGTTGAGCTGCAAGGTGCGAGTAGAAAAAGAAGACAGAAGAAGAGGAGGTTAGGGTGAGTGTGAGACCTAACAGGACCTAAAATTAATTAGTAAAAAAAAATCTTGATCAGTCGGTTTATTTGTTTATTTCTTTTTGCATGAAGAAATTAATGATAGTTTGCTACCTACTACAGACACATGGCTGTCTGTGATGACACCTCAAAGGAGATGTTTCTTTTTTGTCTGTTGTTTTTTTCCAGCCTTGTGTCTGTTGTGTTTGTTGGTGTCAATTTTGTCTGTCATATCATTGTTTTTCTGCTCAGTTTCTGTATGTTATTCTTTACAGAAGAAAATTGATGGTTTCTTACTCCACCTCTACCTTTGAAATGAAGTGATGGTTAAAGCTCTTCCTATTGTCTTTGTAAATTGGCAGCAGATTTGGCAGCTAATGCTTCCCAAATGATTAGGGAAGACTAGCTTCACTACGGGGCAGACCGTGACAATGGGGTGGAGGACATCTAGAGGGCTGTGAAGAATTAGAAAAAATGCACTCTGGGATTAACACACAAGTCACCACCTGATACACATTGAGACATCCTTTAGAATGGGCAGAGCAAGAACTCTTGCTCTTCATTTGATTCGTACTTTGAAATATAACTACTTTTTTTCAACATTTCACAACTCCACAAGAACAAAAATACACACAAATACACATGGGGAAACAGTTTGTCTTGAAACAATAACTGCAATCTTTTAATTTCAACTTTATATTCAAAATGATCCATTGTAATTTTTTTCTTAAATTTCTCCCATTGCTCTTTTTTTTCTCATGGTCTGATTTTTGTTTGTTTTCTTTGTTGTCTGTCCAATGGCATATCAAGATGAAATAAATGTAGTACATTAACCTTAGTCACCATTGCCCCCTTCTCTGTTGCCCATACCCACTCAAACTGCAGGACCACCTTTTACCTGAAAATGTCACTGTTGGGGCATTATAATTAAAACCACAGAAAAAATGCGTTTTATAACCACTAGTGAGATTTGGAAAATATTTAAGTTGTTTTTTTAAAACTTCTGTTGAGCACTAAAATTATGAGGATACTCATTTCTAATCTTTTCCCTCTCAGTCTCTTCAAGTAACACCACAAAAGACCCAGCCAATGCCCAGACAATACACGATCAAGCTGCTTTTATGGTCGAGCTCCCTGGAGTGATGTGGACAGCAAATGGGTTACCTGCTTAACCATAAATTCCGCTTCTGTCAGAAGTGTACGGGGACGGCTAAGTTTGCGGGATCATAAAACCAGCTTCAGTGCCCTGCAGCGATTTTGTAGAAAGGCAAGTAGAGACTTGTATCCTTTTTTATATCCTGAAAGCTTCGTCTATAGTTATCGTCTTCGAAATATTCATTTATTAAAACTATCGATAAAATCTATGAAAACTTACTACATATAAAACTGTATCATTTTCATATATAATATTAAAAGTAAATGTAAATGATTCTGCAGCAAGCAGAAGGAGGCTCTTAACATATGATTATAAGCTTCTGCTTTTATTTACATTAGTGTACTTCCTTTTAGAAACTGTCCGTAGGCATGTTAATGTGCTGTTCCCACACTTCTCATCAATGCCTTGCACAGTATGTAAAGCCTGTTGTTTGACAAGGGTCTAACAAAGAGTGACTAATTCCAATTTCCAACGGATCAGGAATATCATGCTGCTTTGTCATGTAGCTAAAGTCAGTGCCAAGGGATTCCTGATGTTGTGTATTCTTGTTCTGAAGGCGAAAGGCGGAGACATACGGGAAATAAGAGCGCAAGTCCCACCAAACACACACAGCAAAAGTCTCCGATTCGTCAAAGTTGTTTAATTGACAGTTTGTCTGTAAAATCAGCAAACAGCATTTAGTCACGAGTGCACGTCACCAGATATCAAAACGCTTAGTCAATATGGCAGACACACAGCGGAAATGGTTTAGGGCCATCACGACGTTGTGAGATCGGCTAATGAGTAGCGCCGCTACGTAACCTATTGCGACACAGGCTTACCTTTGACGGGAAGTGGGTGGTCTTATACCAAGAACCAGACGCACGGTGAGCGAGAAATGGTATCTAAAAATTGTTTAAGTTGTCTAGACACTTGCTGGGTGTACATAAATATACTACGCGGCTAACCAGCATTGTACAAGGACAGTAACGGATAACTTTTACGTAAGTTATGACCGATTTCTTTTGATTGTTTTTGTGGAAACACTACAATTAGCAGGAATGACAATGTGAGTTCGTTGGCTAATGCGACGTGACTGCCGTGGACATGGGTTCCTACAAAATTTTTAGCATCGACGCTAGCTGCTGTTTCGTAGCATCGTAATGAAATCCTAAATTTAAGTGTCTTTGCCACATTATTAGTATCACAGTTATTACTGTTATTACTGTGGTATTACAGTTATTACTAAACGTATGAAAAACTCAGTAAATGATTATTCAGTTTAATTAACTCAACGCTGTACGATACGATGATGCTAAAACAAGCTGCGAAGTTGTGTGTTTGAAACAAAACGGATACAATTCTTTCCTAACTGGTGTTATTTATTTATTTTTGTCTTTCTATATAGTCGTTGTCATCATGGTCTCTGCGGCTGTGCTCCATCTGTGGGTTTTAGCTTGGCTGGCTTCTGTTCTCGCTGCTGGTCAGTATCATCAACAGTACAATTCATCTTTAGTCACTGGGGAGTGTTATCTTTTAGTATACACGCAAGAATGAATCAAAATGGACACTCAGAATGTAGATTGTTTTTGACAACATTTTTAGTGTCATATTTCCTGCTGCCCCAGTGTGGGTATAATAACACACTTTCAGAAGGTTTTTTTAAGCATATTTTACCACGTTCAAGGTAAGGTAATTCAATCAATTGTGAGTAAAAAATACTGGCTGAATTGATATCAGCTCAGTAATAAATACAAGTACTAGTAAACATTGCTGATTACATATTTGAGAATTATTATCTGTCAAAGGGAAAACGGCGATGCAGCTTCATGTGAGATGTGGACCAAAGGGTTATTTTAGAGGTGATGCAGTTGTTGCCTAATAAAAGCCTTTCTTTAGTGCTGCAAAGTTGAGGCACAAAATAGAGCTTTCTCATCTGATTCCTTGTGTCCTAGCATGTGTGTTTTGTGGCGGTGATAGAGCGAATAATCTTGATTCATTGCTTATTTCTTTATATTGTGGTTCTAGAGAACCAGATTTTGTACTCATTTTTTTTGACATATCTTTAAGCATTAGTTCCCCTGGCTTTCTGATGGTCTTTTACAGTTTTCCCTAAGCACTGGCTGCTTTCCCCCCCACTCATTTCACTTTCATTTTCAGTCCAGTCTTTGTTCCTGGCCATTATCATAAGAAGGTTGTTTCTTTTCTTTGTTAAGACCCTAAACACTAAATCATTCAAATATAAAAAGGCACCTAACTTAGTGTTGTCTACACATAACAGACAACTTAGCAAAGAGCCTATTTTAAGTTGCCAGGTTGGTGGACAGTGGAGGACAAAAGAAGTGACAGTCCTAAAACACTATCTACAGTAATTGAAGAGTGTTTGAAAATGATTTCCTTAAAAATAGAAGAAACAAAATCCAGCAAAGACCTGATCAGGTGATCAATCTACTATTTGCTGAAACCTCATCAGTAATGGTCACAATCAATAAGCCACATTTAAGGAGGGAAACAGGACAGAAAGGCAGGCTGAGGCAAGCCAAATCATACAAAAAATAGACTCAGAATCAGTTCTGAGCAGTTGTGCTACATGTAACACTGGCTTTATTTGAATGAATTATCTAATTAGTCATCCAGACACTGGTTCTATCCAACTAATGTGAGAGTGGAAACAGTGTTTTGTCATTGACATTGTGTACCAGTTCAAAATGCAAATGAAGTGTTTTGTTTTAACTTTACCTCTGCAGGCCTTTTTTGTAAAGGCTGAGATAAACTGTACTTTTCAAAATTGAAGAATTGAGGTGATTTAAAGAAAAAACAGAGCAGGCCTCTGGACAGAGAATTCTAATTAAAAAGTTAAAGTTGAAAATACAACACATATATAGTTTTACAATTTTTTTTTATTACATATGGTTAGTAAGGACAAGTGAGAAAAAGCACATGCAGTTGATATTGAAACAGACAAGCTCAGGTAAGATGGGGAGCAGCATATGGAAAGGAGAGATAGACAGAAGAGCAGTGTGAGACCTAACAGGACCTAAAATTAATTAGTAAAAAAATATCTTGATCAGTCGGTTTATTTGTTTATTTATTTTTGCATGAAGAAATTAATGATAGTTTGCTACCTACTACAGACACATGGCTGTCTGTGATGACACCTCAAAAGAGATGTTTCTTTTTTGTCTGTTGTTTTTCTCCAGCCTTGTGTCTGTTGTGTTTGTTGGTGTCAATTTTGTCTGTCATATCATTGTTTTTCTGCTCAGTTTCTGTATGTTATTCTTTACAGAAGAAAATTGATGGTTTCTTACTCCACCTCTACCTTTGAAATGAAGTGATGGTTAAAGCTCTTCCTATTGTCTTTGTAAATTGGCAGCAGATTTGGCAGCTAATGCTTCCCAAATGATTAGGGAAGACTAGCTTCACTACCTAAAGAATTACAATTCTCTGAGAATGCATATGGCCCCTTCCTGATTTCTGACATTTTTGCTTTGTTTTGAGATCTTTTAGCCTGCCTCGCTCTGTCAAACAAGTTCTATTTTTGTTGGTTTTTATCGATCTGGTTGTGACCACCGAAATTAAACTCAGCTTTCTGAAACATATGATTAATCACAGTTAATTCATAATTTATCAAGAACTGAGATAGTGCAAACATTATATTGAAGTTCTTGCTCCCAATGGTGGCACAGGTAGCTATTAGGTTCGTAGGCAATTACCTTTTCACATAGGGCCATGTTGGTTTTGATATCGTTATTTCCTTTATAATTAAAAAAATTTACAAAATCAATTTTGTATTTACCTGGGTTTTCTTTGTTTAAAATACAGTTTGTTTGATGATTTCAAACGTAAGCGTGAATGATGCGCAAAAAAAATAAGCATTTATGGTAAAGGTTAAATAATTTTGTACTTCATATGTACAGATGTTTGGGGGCCATCAGAATCCCTCCAGCTTTCTCTGTTTCAGGGAAGCTAGTTACAAGCCAGCATGATGAGCACAACGTTTTAGCTATGCCCACCTCCACCTCAACCATATATATCCCAAAAGTTGGGAAATTGTAACTGCAATGTTAATTATGTAATGACTGTAAAGACATTGCGCTGTACTGTAACTAGTGTAAAAGATGATTATTTTTCTGACTTGGTATAACCATGGACACCATGTGTGTCCATGTTGCCATGACAGGCGGAGTTTAATGTTGCATTAAAAAGAGGAATGTGGTCACGTCTCATCACACTTAGCAGCAGATGTTCCTATTGTGGTTGTATTGCTTAGACTGTGACAGGAACTGTGGGTAATTTGATGGCTCAGACTCACAGAAATGTATTAATAATCTTGTTGCTGACACAAGCACAGTGCTCATCAGCTATATTTTTCTGAGTTTTACTCTGCATGTGGGTTTACTTTTTTTGTGTGTGTTTGGTTTTTTGTTTTGACCTTCAGAAGACGACTATCATTTGGTGATAGCCCCACAGTCTCCAGTGGTTCAGATTGGGTCTAACTTGACAGCTATCTGCATGATCAACAACACAACTGAAGTCACAGCAGATGATCTCTACTGGAAGCTTTCTGAAATTATACCCAAAGAACATTACATCAAGATCAACAGTTCAGCACTTAATGTCACTGTCACCATCAGAAGTGAAAAGTCTGAATGGTTATTTTGCAGCTGCAAGACAGAGTCACACTATGTTGTCCTAAACAGGGGCAAATTTACTCATGGGATTTGGCTGAGGAAAGGCTGTAAGTTCTTATTGTCATAACTTGAAAATCTATTGCTGTTTTTACCCAAATGCAGCTATAACTCTTTTTTTTCGATCGGTTGTGATAACAGTAGTTTGTTTTCCTTTCTGTGTTTCCAATAGTATATGATGACAGAATTATTAGCCATTTTTGGGGGGTGAAATACTTCTTATTGTGGGCTAATATAAATACTTAATGCTGTTTTCTAAATAAAACTAGTCTGTTAAGAAATACTATGTTGAAAATCCCTTTCTCTGTTAAAAAGCACACAGCAAAACTTTGATAAAAACTTTGAATTTCATAAAGGGGTAATTATTTTGTCCTCATTTGTAAGCTGAATTTAAATTTAATATATATATAAACCACCTGATAATGATACAGAAAAAATGCACTGAAAATTGTAATTTTGTGGCATGCAGAGATAAACTTTGTGAGTTTAGTTTTTGTTTTGTTTAAATATCAGATCGCCCGGAGAAGCCAAAGAATCTGTCCTGTATAGCAGTTCAGGAGAGCGAGATTATCTCATCAAACATCAAATGTCAGTGGGAAGCAGTAGGACATCAAACGGAAGCTGTCCCTACAAATTATACACTGTTTATTAGACAAACGGGGTGAGTACACGCTTCATGAATCATTACTTTTTTTGTTTACAATTCTGTTTTTCATTCATTATGGTGAAACTAAGTCAAGCTGTATGTTAAAGCCAGCTCATCACAGTAGTGTTGTATTACATTTTTATGTTCCTGGTATGGACAATTTAAACATGTAATGTCTGTCAGTGTCAAGTTGTATAGCTACACGGCCACAATCAAATATGAACACACGAAACATGGGCACCTTGACACATAGGGGGTCATTTATCCTGACCACTTAATCTAACATGCATGTGTTTGGACTGTGGGAGGAAGCTAGAGTACCTCAAGAGAACCCATGCAGGGGCAAAGAGACCATGCATACCCTGATTGTGCAAATCTTTGCACCATTATGCCACCTAAATGTAATGTGACTTTTTAAACTAGTAATGAATACCAGTTGTCTAGCTTTGTGTAGGTTTTACTGTCAAGTAAATTGTCTTCTACTTCTTTTTTTAGTGATAAAATTTATACTGCATCAATATTAGGGCCAGTAAACAAAACCACAGTGGATCTGAATCTCTTTCCTCATCATATGGAACTGGAGATTTGGGTGGTGGCACAAAATGAACTTGGAAAAGAAGAGTCTGAACATCTGATAAAGCTTGCTAATTGCTTTGGTAAGTAAATAGTACATTTGATTATTATGTTTAACATATTTGCATGTTCTGAGCCAGTAGTCTAAAACGTATATTCAGATTAAGTGATGTTGATTGTCTTGAATTCTTTGTGTGTGTGTGTGTGTGTGTGTGTGTGTGTGTGTGTGTGTGTGTGTGACAGTAAAAACAAAGCCTCCATCCGTCGCAGTCATTTCAGAGGCAGTTTTTCCCACCTCCCTTGTGATGAGCTGGAATTCTTCTATTGATAAAAGTTATCTGGAAACGATATATGAAATTAGATTCTGCCCATTGGGATCTCAAAAGTGGTTTTATGTAAGTATGTTTGTATACCCTTCCATCAAAAATTGCCATTGTAAAAGACAATATTACCATATTTCTAAAAGATTCAAACTATTGTGTAAACCTGTAAATCAGTTAAGATTCCAGTGTTGTGTTATGTATTAATGAACAAATCTGCAGAAATTGTATTACTGACAATTTTAAGAAAATCTGATTTAGTTTCATGACATGTTGAATCTGTTCTCCACAAAGCTCTTGAGAGTGATTGAAAATGAAGGTTTACTTTAGCACAGTAATATGTTTTTTTGTGTTCTATACAACCTTCTACAGTGTCCCTGTACAGTGTGTACACCATTTTATCTTTGTAGCACTTGCTCAATGTGCTCAAATGGTAACACAGTGGCTCTGTGGTTAGTACTGTTGCCTCAAAGCAAGAGGGTCCTGTATTTGCTGAAATCTTAGAGTCTTAATATTTTAAATGTGATTCTTCTCAGACTGGTACATATTATCTCTTGTTTTATTTTTAAGTGACATATGGTTTATGTTTTTAGGTACCTCTGGCAGACACTTCAAGGTATATACAGTCCTTTAGACTCCAGAACCTGCAACCAGACACAGTTTATGTCACTCAGGTACGGTGCAAATATAATAATAATAACAAGCACTGTGGTTACTGGAGTGACTGGAGTAGCAACGTTACCGAGAGAACACCAGAGGATTGTGAGTATTATGAATTCCAGTTCGGACTAGTTTCAGTAAAAGCATTTCATCAGATGAAATATTTTGCTACAGACAATTAGCACAGTTATGATTAATAAATTGTTCACTTAATACTATGTTATACACGATGAATAAACTATTCAGACTCTGAAGTCCTCAAGAGCTTTTTGTATCCAAAAGCATAAAGATTGAAAATAAAAACCTCTGGCAGTGAGAAGATTTACTGAACCTGTGAAACTGCATACATTGTCCACCCATGTGTTTACGTGTTCTTTTGTCCTTTTGATAAACTAAAAGATTTAATATTCTGTTCTTTTTCTTTTACCTAGTACCAAAAAGTAAACCAGATGTATGGATAATCACGTCGGAGGAAGGCCTAAATAAACGACAAATTGAGTTCATTTGTAAGGTAAATTTCCATCACATTCAATTTAACATTTAAAAACAGTTTTATCTAACAATACTCCTGTTGTCATAAGCACAAAGCATTAGAATTTATTTGACATGAAAGGTTTAACATAAACGATAGACATTCTACAGGTGGACCAAAACATTTTAACTGAACCAGTTAAAAACACAAACAAAAGGAACTATTGCTGCCAACCCTAACTCACCACAGCCAACATGTTAGAACAGACTGTCATAGACTATTTTCATAGTCTTCAGTATAGTTAATTATAGTTAAAATATTTTATTCATTATAGCAAGCAGTTTGATGAATGGCTAGATCAATAAAATTTTAACAGAATAGAATGAATGAGTTGGACAGATTGCGATATAGTCCTGGATATAGTCAATGGTTTGAATAACAGATTTAAAAATTGGAATACGAGAGGTCATTTAATAATATTTGTTCTTTTCTTTCAGACACACTAAAGATTTCCTTAATTTTTATGTATAGCCTTATTCGGATAATATAACAATCCAGTTTAAAAATCATCTTATTTTATTGTCACACCAAGTTGTAGATTTGCACTTTGCACCAGTTGTTGTAATTGCATATGTTTGCTTTTCAAATATATGCTACTAACAGGCAAGTTACATATTGTAACATCAACAGTGTTAACATAGATAAAGGGTGTTTCTCTCATCTCTTGTTTATTTTTTAAGGCATAATTTGATATTTGTGGCTATACCAAAATTTTGGCAAGTAACTAATATCAGCCAATATATTGGCCCCACAGATTTATCTGTCGGGCTCTATTGAACACACTGTTCAGTGTGATAAATAACATAAATAATTTTGTTTCATAGACACACTGGCATTTTGGGTTTTTTTTAGCATTTATGCTAGCAGTCATGTTGGTTGTTTTTGTGTAATAATGAGAACTGTCTGCATACTGTCTGCAACTTTGCTCATCCAGGATCCCGAGTTTTCCAATGGGAGGATAAGAAGATTTAACATAACGATTGAGAAACAAAAGGATAGTATCAGGAATGGAACTTGGGAGATTATTCCAGTGAACAGAAGTCTGACAGATGGCAGCTCAAGTAAAAAACAGATCACTCCACTAAAAACGATTACCTTGGATGATGAGGAGTCTGTGACCGTGTATGTCACAGCCATAAATTCTGTGGGGGCATCTCCTCAGGCAAAGTTGATCATTTCCCGCAAAACACGGGGTAAGTGTCCATGTTGACCTTGAATTTACAGGCGTGACATTTAGACACAACTGTGACATAAACATCTAAAGCAGTCCAGATAATATTTTCGGCATAAAATCACACACACAAATTAGAATGTTCTTGATTAATAAGTAACAGTAACAGAGACGTACGATGGTATCCAAAGGGACCCAGCAGCAACCATGAACCAGGATGCCATGTGGTTTATGATCATAATTTTTAACTCTCAGCTGTTTGCGAAGCCCCAGGTATAAAACTGCAGTTAACAGAATCAGTATAGTGGTGTGAGTAATGTATGATTATATGCCTAGTATACACATAGTAGATAATTTCAGAACTTTAACTCAAAGTTCTTAGCAGGTTTTAACTCGAGGTCAGATGAGTTTTACAATTTACTAAATGTAGTTTATTCACTAAGTCTGGTCCAAATCAAGACCCAATGTATGACAAATTGGGCTATGGTTATATTTGTTATTTCATGTGTGTGTGTGTCTGTTACAGAACCTCCTGCAGTGGAAAAAACGGAGGTACAGTCCCATAACGGTCAGCTGTTTCTTTCATGGAAACCCCCTAACAGAACAGTGTCCGAGTATGTGGTGGAATGGGTCAGTGATGGTGAGAGAAACTGGCAGAGGGAAAATGGAAAAACAAACTACACTGCAATTAAAGGTATTTTTTCTGTTTTTCTGAGGGTTTAGGAAACAAAAAGTTGTTGTACAACCCTCTTGAAGAAATATGGAATAACCACGTTTGGAGAATGTTCATTTAGTTGTTTAAAGGCATATGGCACCCATCATAAAATCTCTCTCGTGTCATGGCTGTTGTTGAAGCTGTTGTTTAGTTTGAGCTGTCATAAAGAGGAGACTGACTGTACTGTGCAGATGGTACTTTAGGTAGATCTTTTTAAAAAGCGATAAAAAGGTGGAGTCAAAAAGCTAGTCTCTGATTTCATTGTTTAATGATAATGATATGGCGTTATAAAGAGTCAAGTTTCTTATTGATAAGCAACACAAATGATAAATATGTTATAGTGACTTTAATACAACCTTGTTAAAGCAAGAAAGTATTCTATTGTAACAAGGAATTAATATATTTTGCATACACTGCAGCGGATCTTAAAGCAAAACCTTTAAGTTAACTTTTACTATGGCTGCTAATACTAATAGCTTCTGTTGCTTTACTCTAACTGCATGTTGTATAAGATTGCTATTAATTAAAGAGTGCTTTTCCCCCCTTTTTTAACCTTGATGTCAAATCTAGGGGACCTTAAGCAATTTGTTCAATACAGAATATCAGTGTACCCTATATATGGCAAACTGGTTGGGAAGCCAGTCCTTGAACGAGCCTATTTTGAACAAGGAGGTAAGAGATCATACTTGTCAATTAATCAATAGTAAACCATTGTATTTTGAATTGTTGTGGATATTATAATTTGAATAATGCTGTTAATCTCGTGAAATTGATGTTAACGCCATAACCGTTATAATGTCATTTTAACGAGATTGTATAGAATGCATTTGATGATTCTATGCAAAATTTTTATATTAATCATTTGACAAGTTATATATTGTCTATCAGTTATTTCCACAGAGATGTTCTTAAAGTCAGTTTGTTGTTATTTTTTTGTACAGTTCCATCACAAGGCCCTATTGTTAACCTGAGTGGTGACCCAGGATGTTACACAGCCAAGCTGGAGTGGGATGAGATTCCTCTGATAAAACGACGCGGCTTCATCACAAACTACACAATATACTATCGAAGTGGGACTGAAACTCGTGGTATCTACTGGTTCCATGTTGTGCTGAACTGTTAGGTTAGCTTTTTAAAATGAAAATACTCAATTGCCAGGCTAACCTTTGATTTCTGTTGTTCTTTCTTGCAGGCATAACTGTGCCAGCTAACACCACCTCATACACTTTGACATCATTATCACGCAACACAAAGTATGACATTTGGATAAAGGCTTCAACTATCAGAGGCTCAGTCAATGGCTCTAACCACTCGTTCACTACTCTGAAATATGGTCAGTACATGATCCAACTAGTTGAGAAATGTCACAAAGTCAGTTTTACCTTTTCCAAAGTGTCTGTGTAGGGTCTCAGTCAATCGAGGTGTTGTAATCTTGAGAGATTGAAAAGAAGGCTACTGGAGCGTCTTGGATGAGAGGCTAATTGAAGTTTAGATTTTTACCATTGGTTTTTGAATTGCTGTTAACCCTTTGTCTTATCTATATATCTTTTTCACCTCACAGCACCAGGAGAAATTGAAGGCATTGTGGTAGGAGTGAGCCTTGGGTTTCTGTTTGTTGTTCTCATGACCATGCTGCTCTGTTTCTGCAAAAAAGATGTGTAAGTTACCCATAAATATCTCTTGGGATGTTTACCGCCTCTCAGTGAATGGCTGTAAACTGAACACGTACATCTAGGGTTTCCATTTACTCTTTGTTGCATCTTACCTTTTCCAAGACTGCAGGCATTTTAACGTGCCTTTGGGTGTACATTGGATGAGGCACATAATACTAGTTTATTTTGAGCATACCAATCTTAAAAATTGTAAACATTCATTACTTCATACACAATATTCATCATAATAGCTCCACTGAAACTGTGATTTCAATATTTTTGGAGTTATTGTATTTTTCTATATAAGTATGTTTTGTTTTTTTCTTTTCTACAGGATCAAGGACAACTTTTGGCCTCAGATTCCAAATCCTGGAGATAGCACCATTGGAAACTGGTCTCCAGATTATCCTTTGAAAGTAAGAGTTTCACATTAGTGCATAGGTGTCAAACTCTGGCCCGCGGGCCAAATGTAATTAGGCTGCAGGCCAAATTTGGCGAAGCCATACCAAATTACTATTAGAGCTGGCCTACTGGTATTATACAGCTAATATATATATATTGTTTAGTATTAAGCTTTGCTTGTTCCATATTCAGTTTTTCAGCAAAACGTGTTTGAGTCCATAAGAAAAGATTCATTCTTATATCTGGAGGAATAAATATCTTTCAATAAATATTAACATTAGCCCGCGACTTTGTTCCAGTTTTGAATTTTGGCCCACTGTGTATTTGAGTTTGACACCCCTGCATTAGTGTGTCAGCATGACCAGAATAATGGTAATAAAAAAATATTAAACCACCAGGACATAGCACAAATGATTGCTTGCATAAAGCAGATTGCTCATTCTCAACCCTGTTTGTCATCACTGCATAGACATTTCTGTTAGCTAATGACACTTGCCTCATACAACAAGGTCAGAGTACTGAGTGAAGAACTGTCTTCCATGTTTCGTGTCATGCATAAAACGTCAGCTGAAAGCATTGCATGTACAGCTTTCAGAGAGGTCCAGTGACTAAAAGAATTACCCCATTAATATTGTGTCCTAATTTACAAATCCCTTTCATAGGAGAGGAAGCACAGAGGTGTCAAACTAACAAGCTTTTTTTTTTTTTTTATTGAAACATTTTTGCCTCTATTGGATAGTGGAGCAGTGCAGATAGAGAAGAAAGTGGTGAGGGAGGGGGAAAACTTGCAGCAAAGGGCCACGGTTTGAACTCGAACCTGGGCTGTACTTTGGCCAAGTGGCATGTGGATGCCTGCTGAAGCACTGAGTTACAGTGGCACGGCAAAATTAGGCTTTAAAACTGACTAATATGTCTAATATGTCTTTATCTGTAGATAGCTTAATACTGTCCCGTTTCGTATTTAATCAGATGCATTTCTCTTTTGCTTTCTTTTTCTACAGGCAGAGGCACCAAGAGAGAACTGTCTATCTGGCATCAGTGTGCTTAATGTGGATGTTTGTGATGCAAAGTGTGTATTTGAGGAGGACAAGGCAAGTCTGCCTCTGAAAAAGGACAAGTATCTGTCTGAGGAGCACAGCAGTGGAATCGGTGGCTCCTCCTGCATGTCCTCACCTCGACAGAGTGTGTCTGACAGTGATGAGGGTGGTGATATGGCTGACACCACGGCCAGCACTATTCAGTACTCCTCTGTAGTCGCCTCCAGTGGTTACAAGGGCCAGAACCCAAGCTCTCTGCCCCAGCAGTCCATTTTTTCACGGTCTGAGTCCACACAGCCACTGCTGGACTGTGAAGAGAACCATGACACCATGCTGCAGGAGGGAAGCAGACAGTGTTTCCTGAGACAGCCCTGCTTTACTCGCAATGCAGGGAATGAAAATGCCACCAACAGTAATGACTTCAACCCGTTGGAGATGGAGCAGCAAGAGGTGCTGGACTTCTGTCCCCTGGAAGAAGACACTGAACACACAGCACCTGCAGATTGCCAATCTGATGACTGGATACCAGCACCGGTCTCCAGCTACATGCCTCAGCTGGGTGGCTACAGGCCACAGTAAGAACTCAGATGGCTCGTCTGATACATGCATCACCTACATATGTGGTCTTGTGCCTTTGTTAGTCCTGGGTGTTTATTTAAAGCATTGAACAAATCCCAGTATATCTTTTGCACTTAATCAAATGTAAATAGTCCCATTATATTACACTGTAAAGAGTAATGTGAATTAGAGCTTGCGGTTGTCGTTTGCACGCTTTACTCTCACAAGGAAAAATTACATAGCCAGTTCTTTGTAAATAAAACAACATCTTCAACATAATGACGAAATACAATTTTATACTAACATAAACTGCTAATGGCATGCCAGACTGCTCAGTGCAGCCTAACGTCCTTAATCTCACTTGAATTTTAATTTTTAAGTGACAGTTTATAGCTGAATGTAAAGTCTTATGTTTTTATTGCATTTATTAAAGGCACCATGAAGCTCTTAAAATGTTGAAACTGTTGTTTTTCAGTTTTCCTAATGTTAATTCCAGATGTTGTTGGAAGATGTGTTTTCTCACCCAAGGCTGTGTCAAAGCAAGCATTATATCTTAATTTGTTGTATCACAATGTTAAAACAATTTGGAATACCGTGTGGTCATAAACAGCATTGCTTCAGCTCTGATCAATCACTGCTGATTGTATTTCTTTTTCAAATGTCACCATGCTAAAGCTTAACAATAAAACATGAAGGGAAGTCAGTAAGCTTCGTTTTTTTTATTTTTGCTAGACATTCCAATGAACTGCTTTGAGTCACACGTAAGTAACCTGGGAGATGCCTAATTGCTTGCTTATGGGGTACATTCTGAGATGAAGGAAACTGGATTCTCTCTTCCAGAGTTTCTTGCTGACTACTTGCCTCCTGCTGCACTGGAAGTAGAACATTGACAGCATATAGTGGAGCCAGTAATCTAACTTTACATTTATATCTACATTTTATAAATGTTGGAAGTCCCAGTGAGACAAGTTTGTGGACACCAGGACACTTCCTAATATGAGTGATCATCCTAGAAGGACCTTAGTCAAGGAGGTGACTAAAAACCTAATGGGCACTCTGACAGAATTTCAGCGTTGCTCTGTGGAGCAAGGAGAACCTTTCATTAACTATTTCTGCAGCACTCCAATAATCAGGTGTATATGGTATATGCAGTGTTGGTCAAGTTAGTTGAAAAAGTAATCAGTAACTAATTACTGATTACTTCCCCCAAAAAGCAATCCAGTTTACTGATTACTTATTTTCAAAAGTAATTAGTTACTTAGTTACTTTTTAAAAACACGATTTACAACCTGAATAGGTGATAAAGCAATAGGTCTTTCAGCCCAATTCTACTTTTTCTGTATAATCTATCATACAAAATGTAATCAAATGGCAAAGTCTCTTTTTTTAAACTTGTTTTATCAGTTTTAATCTTTTAACTTTACAGGGAGTGCAGAATTATTAGGCAAATGAGTATTTTGTCCACATCATCCTCTGCATGCATGTTGTCTTACTCCAAGCTGTATAGGCTCGAAAGCCTACTACCAATTAAGCATATTAGGTGATGTGCATCTCTGTAATGAGAAGGGGTGTGGTCTAATGACATCAACACCCTATATCAGGTGTGCATAATTATTAGGCAACGTCCTTTCCTTTGGCAAAATGGGTCAAAAGAAGGACTTGACAGGCTCAGAAAAGTCAAAAATAGTGAGATATCTTGCAGAGGGATGCAGCAGTCTCAAAATTGCAAAGCTTCTGAAGCGTGATCATCGAACAATCAAGCGTTTCATTCAAAATAGTCAACAGGGTCGCAAGAAGCGTGTGGAAAAACCAAGGCGCAAAATAACTGCCCATGAACTGAGAAAAGTCAAGCGTGCAGCTGCCAAGATGCCACTTGCCACCAGTTTGGCCATATTTCAGAGCTGCAACATCACTGGAGTGCCCAAAAGCACAAGGTGTGCAATACTCAGAGACATGGCCAAGGTAAGAAAGGCTGAAAGACGACCACCACTGAACAAGACACACAAGCTGAAACGTCAAGACTGGGCCAAGAAATATCTCAAGACTGGTTTTTCTAAGGTTTTATGGACTGATGAAATGAGAGTGAGTCTTGATGGGCCAGATGGATGGGCCCGTGGCTGGATTGGTAAAGGGCAGAGAGCTCCAGTCCGACTCAGACGCCAGCAAGGTGGAGGTGGAGTACTGGTTTGGGCTGGTATCATCAAAGATGAGCTTGTGGGGCCTTTTCGGGTTGAGGATGGAGTCAAGCTCAACTCCCAGTCCTACTGCCAGTTTCTGGAAGACACCTTCTTCAAGCAGTGGTACAGGAAGAAGTCTGCATCCTTCAAGAAAAACATGATTTTCATGCAGGACAATGCTCCATCACACGCGTCCAAGTACTCCACAGCGTGGCTGGCAAGAAAGGGTATAAAAGAAGAAAAACTAATGACATGGCCACCTTGTTCACCTGATCTGAACCCCATTGAGAACCTGTGGTCCATCATCAAATGTGAGATTTACAAGGAGGGAAAACAGTACACCTCTCTGAACAGTGTCTGGGAGGCTGTGGTTGCTGCTGCACGCAATGTTGATGGTGAACAGATCAAAACACTGACAGAATCCATGGATGGCAGGCTTTTGAGTGTCCTTGCAAAGAAAGGTGGCTATATTGGTCGCTGATTTGTTTTTGTTTTGTTTTTGAATGTCAGAAATGTATATTTGTGAATGTGGAGATGTTATATTGGTTTCACTGGTAAAAATAAATAATTGAAATGGGTATATATTTGTTTTTGTTAAGTTGCCTAATAATTATGCACAGTAATAGTCACCTGCACACACAGATATCCCCCTAAAATAGCTAAAACTAAAAACAAACTAAAAACTACTTCCAAAAACATTCAGCTTTGATATTAATGAGTTTTTTGGGTTCATTGAGAACATGGTTGTTGTTCAATAATAAAATTATTCCTCAAAAATACAACTTGCCTAATAATTCTGCACTCTATATGCATCAAGCAAAAATTTAATTATATGCAACATTCTCTGACTGGAAGAAATTAGTTTAACATTTAAACCTATTTTCTGCACATTCCAGCACATAAAATAAAATATTTTTGTGTTTACACTCAGTCTTTCAAATAGATGCAAGTAAAACACAGCAGAACATAAATAAAATCAAAGACTAGCTGTTCTGTTGCTCTATTTTCACCTGTAAAGCAGGAGTGGGGTAGGCGGAGGTGTGCTCTGGTGCTGGTGTGCCATAGCAGTCAGTTGAAGAATCCGTGAGTTTCTCTGAATTTCCCATTACGTCGTTGTGCACTCGGTGCTAGTTTAGGGGTTTTTTTGCTGTAAAAAGAAGTTTTCTTCCCACGCACAACGGACGCTAATGTTTTTGTCACTTTTTATGGAATCAAACTCAAAGTAAGGTCAGTACTTCCACGCTTTAAACGCTAGTTAAACTGCAGGAATATCTTTAAGATATTCCTGCAGTTTAACTAATTGGTGTGTGTTATCTGGCCTCATAGATAGATAAAGTTTTGTGTCATCTGCATAGCAGTGAAAATGTATGCCATCTTCTGATGATTCTGCCTAAGTGAAGCAGAAACAGAATTGGTCCTAACACTGAGCCCTGTGTAACTCCATAATTAACCTTAGTATGTGAAGAGTACTCTCCATTTACATGAAAAAATTTGGAGATTAGATAGATATGATACAAACCACTGCAGCGCAGTCCCTGTAATACCTACAGCATGCTCTATTCGTTCTAATAGAATATTCTGGTCAACAGTATTGCTGCACTGAGGTCTAGCAGGACAAGCACAGAGATGAGTCTACTGTCAGATGCCACAAGAAAAATAATTTGTGGGGGAGCTGCTACAATTGTGACAGGAGTGTTGCTCAGCTGAGGACTGATCAGGAGCATGAAAAAACCAATACTTGAGGCAGAGAAAAACACGATCCTAAACAGAACCATAAAAAACCTGAGATGAGACGAGATGAGACCTGACCTGACCTGACACAATACAAACAGAGCAAAGCAAACTCCAGCACCTGGCTGTGATGTCAGCAGAGAAAGAGATGCTTGAGAGACTTGACCACCAAAACGTGATAGACAGATTTACCAACCTCAAGGTGAGGCGACATAGGTTAAAAGAAAAGAAAAAATCTGCAGAGCCATAGTAGTATCTGCAGTAAAGATCATTGTATACATTGTACCATAGGTCAAGGTGTCTCAATTTTTCAAATTTTTTAATAATATTTTGTACTCTTCTATTTTTGGAGTGTATTTTTATGTATCTGTATTATATTATACATACACATTAAAAGTGAATCTGTCCAAAAAAATGCGCTCAGTTTACTTTTTACTCACTGTTAGCATCATTCGTTATTCTCCCGCAGTAATTAAGGTTAGAATATGTTTTTGTTTTTTTTAAAATTCCAATCCATTCTTCTTTGGCAGTAGTAGTCTTTAGCAGCATTTAAATAACCTTT